GTTAAGGTTGGCAGGTTTTGTTATCCTGTGGATTTTGTTGTCTTAGACATCAATGAAGACACAGAAGTGCCACTTATTCTATGAAGACCCTTCCTGACCACCGCCAGGGCCCTCATAGATGTCCGTGATGGGACTTTGGTTTTGAGAGATGGCGAGGAGCAGATAACTTTCTCCATCGCTGATAATAATATGCATGTTGCCTCGCCTATACATGATATTTCTCACCAGGTGAAGAGCCTGTCGTGTATCCTTCTGTACCTCTCATTTTGAAGGATCCCCCTCTTAATCCTTCACCGCCACTCCCTTCGACCTCACTACCCAATAAAAAGATCAAGGAGGAGTGGCGGCAGAAATCACAGGCCGCTAAGCCTGCTCGAAAGAAAGATCGCGACAACTATGAGCTGGTCCCACCTCCTGAACCACGTCCACCCTGGCCATCCAAGTACTCACTCGCTTGCATCCTGCCGGATGGCCAGGTCGAGCTGAAAAATACCGGTGGTCACACCCGTCGGGTGCATGGCCACCATCTGAAGCTGTACTCAAGAGCGATGTGGATCCGCTCTTGGAGGCACCTGTTCCTGCACCACTCTGAGCATCCACCATGGGCGTCCAACTAAAAAACGGTAAAGAAGCGCTTGTGGGGAGGCAACCCCACCACGGTTTGCATTTCTTTTTCCCTTTTTTCTGTGTTTTGTGTTGTCTTTGAGTCAGCGGGCTCGAGTAAGCTGTACTCGTTGCTCGTTTTGTGTGGCTTATGTTTTGGTTAGGAGTGCAAACTGTCTTTTGTTTCGCTTTATTTTCTTTTCTTTTGGATGATGTACTATTGGGCTGACAATTGGACCTAACGTATTGTGGCTGAGTTCTTGTGTTCCCTTTAGTTGTGCCTTTGCACCGACTGGTCCCATTTCTAGTCCTCTTCACTCCGACTGGTCCACCTTCCAGTCCCACTGCAGTCTAATTATGCCGGTAACATCGTTCCCTTATCTTTCCCTCTTCTCCATTGAGGGCAATGTCGAACTTAAGTGTGGGGGGATGTTTCTATTTTGACTGCCTAGATCTGTTTGTGTGCTTGGAGCCTAGTCCATTGTCCAAATTTCGATTTAAGGGCTCCAAGTATGTATTCCTTGCAAATTGCATGCTCAGTATGCTTTGAATTGACAGTCTCTATAGTAATGTGCGACTTAGGGAGGTAGTGTAGCACTATGGAGAATGTTGAAGTATAAGATTTTTCATATTTAGCTCTCTGCTGTGGCGGTTGATTTTGTGAATTAGTGGAGTTAAGACTGTGCATTCATGTGGTAATGGTGACTCCTTTTGAATTGTGTTGTGGACTCGTGTATCGAACAGGGTGCTCATGTGAGAAATGAAAAGCAGTTGGTCCTCCATGTCGAAATCATTGAAATCTTAAACATGGGGTAAGCCCAACGTGTGTGGCACCGTTCATTGCACAAAAATCGGCTTTTGGAAGAGATTTTAGTGATCCTTAGTGGGGTACTCCTACAAGGTGAAGCTAAGTTGTCTCTAGTATGAGTAAAATTTTCACCCGTTGAACGGTTTGCCTACTCGAGGATGTGTTTTTAAGGGCACGGATAGAGCTTCCGACCCCCCTTAATTTCATTGACCCTCCACACTAGTTCAGGGAAAAGAGTTAAAAGAAGTACTCTGGCGAGTGCCAGATGTACAGAAATTGCTCTTGCTTGACTAATAAGGGTCGACCGTGCAAAAGACTGCAGTTGGAACCCCCGCCAAGTGAAAAAAAATACAAAGAAAAGAAATGTAAAATGAAAGTGGAAACAAGGGGTTCCAACGGTGAAATGAAGTGAAAGAGCACCCCGGTACAATGAGTCCTTGGTTGTGAATGGTGTGAGTCCCTTTACCCATGAACTGGCTGTCTTACTTCCACTTCTTCTCATGATCTTGGCTTGAGTCTAGTACTCGCATTGAGAGAGATAGGGGACGTCTTAGAAGACCAGTTGACCTCGTAAGCTGCTATATGATCAATGAAATCCTCTACCGACGATCGGGGTTGTTTGTTTCTGTAGAGGTCCGGAGAGATGCATTGGTTTGATTTAGGTTTGCTTGGGGACAAGCAAACGGATAAGTGTGGTGGAATTTGATAGACCAATAATTACACATGTTTACACCTCTATTCTTGAGCCGTTTGAGAGTCTATTCTCGTGTTTTAAGCCAATTTCACGCTAGGTTGTGTGTTTATGTCATATTTCAGGACTTGGCGTTGACGTGAAGGCGAGGAAACGAGTTTCGGGTCAAAAGGAGGACGTTGGAGTAGAAAGGGGCCATGAGTAATAATACCTGGCCGAGTAAATCGCTAAGAGAGGCCGGGGGAAACCAGTTTTGGACGTTGAGAAACAGAAGGGGTCCCGGCCAAGGATCGAAAATACCCAATCGGGTATTAACCCTGTACCGCTGCGTTGCATTTCAAAATCCCCGGTCGGGCACCTGAAATACCCGACCGGGGATCGCGAACAGCTGGGTTTTAAGGGAAAGAAAACATTTTTGCAAGGGTTTCGAGTTTTAAATGGACAAAGCTGATACCTAGAGAGAGAAAGTGACGAACCTGATTCTCCAAGTGCGCTAGATCGATCTTCATCACCATTGGAGCCCGACTTGATCTTAGAGAAGTGCTGATTGATTGCCAGAAACAGAACCCCATCCTTCACAGTATGGTTTCCGCATCTGAGCTAGATTTCTCGTCTCTCTCTATGGAGTAACTTTCTCATTCACTTGGGTATGAAGAACCCTAGATTTGTATGTTAGGTCTGATTGTATGAACCCAAGTACGATTTCAGTTATATGATTATATTCAATTGAGGTCTGATTTCTTGAATGAATTGAATCTTGATCAAATTCCTGTTATTTCTGCTTTGACCTAGAAAGAGAATATCTGCCTAGGTTGATAGAGCACCCTTGATTGAAGGTAGTGAATTGACGACTTTAGTCGAGGAGTCAATTCACTATTCTGTACCGGATTTACTTCGGTAGAGGAGGTTTGGTTCGTTAGGGCCTCAAGTTGTTTACTCCGGTGGAGATTAGTCTCCCGCTGGGGACTCAGATTGAGAGGGTCTGGAGACCTTTATTCGAGACTGCAGACTGTTTAAGAACCTCCCGCAGTATAACTATAATTGAACTTGAACTTGGTAAATTACAATCTGGCTAGCGGGAACCATATCCGGGTGACCTCTCTCAACTTGAACACAACTTTCACTGCTTTGCTTGCTAGTTTAATTAAACCTTCACTACACTTGAACCTCTAGATAACAAGACTTTCACGGAGTAGTCATCACACCTAGGACCCGGGTTGACAATTAGAACTGAACCCGCTATACTACGCATTAGTAGGTGGTTACACTTGTTCACTTTCTAGTGTGACGGTAGAGGCGTGTCACATCCCTATGTGCTAATAGATGTGGTTGTTACTTATTAACAATAGTCATAATTATTTGATGGTTGCCCCCAAAAAAGTGAGTGCACCGAATACACTATCGTTATGGTGGCTACTTCGGTGCACTCACTTGGCTATTTCGGTGCACTCACTTTTGACCTTCAATTTTGATGCCCAACCCAAAACCCCAAATTGTAAACCTAAATCCTAACCCTAAATCTCAAACCCTTAATCATTCAAATTGAAGTACATCTTGAGTGATTTTTGTACAAATTAATGTATTTTCTTGTCCATCATACCTAGAATGACGATTATGAGAAGGTGTCGAGAAAGTGAGTGCACTGAATACACTAACATTATTTGATAATTATCTTTAACTGTTGTCTAATTATTTCGTTAGATTATTCGTTATGGTCGAAAAATTTCGTATTATGAGTTCTTATAACTCTCAATATTACTCTCTAAAAAAAACTCTCAATATTACCAATTAACTTAGTCACATAAAATAGAGGATTTGAAAAAACTTCAAAAAATCACACACACAGAATCACAATTTCTGGTACCAACTATGACTGACTTTTCATATAACTAAGTTGACAAAGACTAACGGGGAATGGTCTTTGGAGTAGTCAGTAGTCAGTATAATTACTCATCAAGCATGAAATCATGATATGCCTCCTTTCAAATAAGCTACATTTTTTTATAGCATAGATAGCGTTTATCAATAAGCTATAATTCTTGCTTCAAATTGTGAATTGAATAAGCTTTAGTTAATTCATAATTTTGGTCTCATGATCTATTCGTTCTGAGTAAATATTCTTTGGTGGTATGCGATCTATAAAGGGTCAAATACGTACTTTCTAAGTCTCTCAAATGTTTATGGGATCTTGATACTTTCAAACATATGTATTAAAAACCCTTATCGTTGAAAAGAAACAAACATAAGATAAAAACCTTTACAATTCTATTATAATTCTTACCATCATCGCAATGCTCCAATCAGAGTACGTTTAACTTCATGGTTTTTACAAAAAATGTCCTTCGTTTCCTCCCAAAGTATGAGAGTAGTTAATGGGTGATAAGAAACAATCCAACAATAACCGACAAGACAAATTTTGGGGTGAAGGAGTTATTGTAAGAACTCTTAACCTAATTGTGTTCGGGGTGAAGAAATGCAATAATGATTGACCTTTTTGAGAACTCACCATGAAGCACAATAAACAAAACAAGACGGTACCCAAGGAGGAAAATATTTTAATTGGAAAAGAGGTTGAGACTTGAGTTGTTACAAGTGACATCAGAGTCTCTCCACATCATTCTTAAACGAATGCGGGACAAACCTTAACGAGAATATTGAGTCCAAAAGAGGAGGGGTCGATGGGATGTAATTCCATAGACAAATTCATCTCGTAAAAGCACGCGAGAAATCTATGTGCCATAAGCAATAATCAAACCTTAATTAACAATTGATGTAGAATGAACGAGTTCTTATCAAAATTCTTAAATTGGACCTAATATGAAATAGTACATCTCTTGAAAAATCATCATGGTTGTACAAAAAATAAAATCGTATAAAGGTCGATTCAAGACGAAAAAAAGAGGGGGAAAAAGTAGGAATATTACAACTCCTCCTAATGGACTCGGCCTACATCTTATGTCTACATTCTGCTAGCAGTCAAAATCTTGTAACCAAACAAGGCCCAAGCGAATTGTCTTCTCCGATGGCGGAAATTCCACCGTCCGGAAAGAGAAGAAAGAAAAAAAAGATAAAGGGAGACGACAAGGAAAACGTAGCTGCCCACCCCGAATCAATTTAGGGGAGGAGTCAAGCGTCTGACGGACGCACGTAACGGCGACCGCCCAGCCTTTCTTCCACGGACTCCCCCAACCCATTATTTCCCCATTTCCACCCTCCTCCTCCCGCCGGAGCTGCGGAACCGAATCGGAGCTCCTTCCGATTCGGAATGTAGCACGAGAAATCCCGGAAAAGAAGAAACCACTCAAGGGGAATAATATCTGAGATGGGCCGAGATCAGTCGAAGCTCCTCAGGATCCTTATTCCCCTCTTCGCCCTCAACTCCGTCACCATCTTCCTCTACTTCTCCTTCCACCACCACGACGCCCCGCCGCTTCCCACCTCCAGTCGCCAATTCCTCCCCGACCCAATTCACCACCAGCCCTCCAACGCCACCCCCGACGATGGTTACCTCAAGCCCTGGCCCATCCTCCCTTCTTACCTCCCTTGGACTCGCAAACCCAAGGACGACGCCCCCTACCGCTCCTGCGAGGCATATTTCGGCAACGGATTCACCCGTCGCGTCGATGTCCTCCCGCCTTCCCCCGATCGCTCCGCCGGATGGTTCCGCTGCTTCTTCAGCCGGACGCTGCTGAGCTCGGTCTGCGAGGGCGGCGGGATTCGGATGGTACCCGATAGGATTGCGATGTCGAGGGGCGGGGAGGCGCTGCAGGAGGTTATTGGGCGGGATGAGGAAGATGAGATGCCGATTTTTCAGGACGGCGCGTTTCAGATTCTGGGTTCGTCGGAGGGTAAGGCGAGGAGGTGGAAGAAGAGGAGGAAGCTTGTGGACGAGGGGTTTCTCGGCGAGTACCTGCCGGCGGGAGAAATTGAGAGGCACACGATGCGGCAGCTTGTGGGTTCGATTCAAATGGTGGATGCCACGGAGTTCCAGTGTGATCAGGTTAGGGTTCTGCCTCCTACTCCATCAATGGATCTCCTTCTTTGGCTATTTGATATCAAGGAAGGAAGTGCAGATCAAATATTGAACTATTAATCAGAAGGGGTTTTGCGTATTTCCTTTTCTGAAATGGGAAGTTTAGATGTCGTTTGTAGGATGACATTGAATGCTGTCCTGATCTCCTGATCGATCAGGTGAGAATTAATTGCCAGGGGGGGGGGGGGGGGGGGGGGGGGGGGGGGGGGGGGGGGGGGGGGGGGGTGGGGTTCTGGAAGAGATGTGTAGCTTTACACCGAAATGGATAAATGCCATGCTAATGGTAGTTGCTTGAATATGGATTACGGTGAATTTGGATGAAGTTTAGAGTACCATTTTCTGCATCATGTCATGATTTTTGCATCCTTCTTAGCTGTGACTGTTGATACGGTCTTAATGTTTCTGCATTATACTTGCAGTGGATTGAGGAGCCGACGTTGCTTGTCACCAGATTTGAGTATGCGAACCTTTTCCACACTGTAACAGATTGGTACAGTTCATATGCGGCTTCTAAAGTCACGGAGTTGCCTTACCGGCCTCATTTGGTTTTCGTGGATGGCCATTGTAGAGTATGTTCCCTCTTTGCGCTCTCTCTTTGGATTGGTTACACATTGAAATGAGAACACATCAACTTAGGGGTCATTTGCTTGTTGGATTTGGATCATGGATTTGATGCCCAAATCCAATGGATTTGCCTCAAGTCTGTTGTTTGTTGATGGGTGCCAAATTTTGTGGGGTCCACAGATCCAGTAAGCAAACAGCTCCTTAATTTATCAGAGATAATGAACAACTATAAAACCAGGAACTTTGGAGCTGATTCTTATTTCTCTATACTTCAAATCTTCAACTTCTCTATGTGATATTGTTTTCATTGCCTCAGCGTATAATCTTATCAAGCCACTTAAGTATTAGGATTTTCTGTGTTTTGGGGGAGAAAGATCCTATTTTATGTGATCATTCTGGGGACAAGTTAACTTTGTTATGTGCTATGATGGTTTCCACGAGCTGTGCTTCTAGTTGCAGAGGGATGATTGACTTAGATGCATCTTAGAGCTTTAGTTCGCGGTATTGATGTGTCATTTCTAATGTCTCTTCTCCTTTGTTTGTTTATAAACATCAATAGCAAAGAGTTGGTTCCTGGAAGCTTGAGCATTTCATCATGGCCTCTTTAGTCTCTCTCTCCCCCAATGAATGATGCAGCTTCTTTATAACTAACGCTGGCAATTTAAGTCATATATATATTTGCTTTAAGCGAATTGGGGAATTCCAGGATTTCACAGTCTCTTATTATTTTTCTTTACACCTTTTGTTTCTTAGTTGGGATATGGCTTCTGTTAGGTCAGGAATTATAGTCTAGAGTGAATTTTACATGCTACGTTCACTATATTAATTTAGTTCAATCATACATTGCATATTGTGCTTCGACCTTGGTTTGTCTGAAGCGTGCTTGTCTAGCTCGCTCAGTGATTTCTCACCTTCCTGAGAAATTTTTCAGGCACCCTTGGAAGAAACCTGGAGTGCTCTCTTCTCTAGCATCCAATATGCTAAAAACTTTACGGGCTCAGTGTGTTACCGCCATGCTGTACTTGTTCCTCTGGGATATGAGACTGCCCTCTTCAAGGGTCTATCTGAAGATATATTCTGTAATGGAGCTCCTGGGAAAGAACTTTGGATGAACCCTGATGAACACAAGACAGCACGACTGTCAGAGTTTGGAGAAATGATAAGAGCAGCCTTTCACTTCCCGGTCAATAGGCCTGGTTCCGAAAAGCCAGCTTCAGGCCTCAATGTCCTTTTTGTGAGAAGGGAAGATTACTTGGCCCACCCACGCCACGATGGAAAGGTTCAATCGAGACTCAGCAATGAAGAAGAGGTGTTCGATGCTGTACAGAAATGGGCATCATATAAACACAATAATCATTCAGAGTGTAAAGTGAAGGTGGTGAATGGATTATTTGCACACATGCCAATGAGGGAGCAACTGAGAGCCATTCAAGAGGCTTCTGTTATCATAGGCGCTCATGGTGCTGGCTTGACTCACATTGTGTCGGCTACACCAAGAACTGTAATTCTCGAGATTGTGAGCGCAGAGTTCAGACGCCCACATTTTCAGTTGATTGCCCAGTGGAAAGGGCTGGAGTATCACGCAATATATCTCGAGGAGTCGCATGCTGATCCAGTGGTTGTGATCAGCAGGCTAGGACGCATTGTGAGAAGCTTTGAATGTTGAGAAGAAATCTTTCCCCTCTTTAATCAACCGTCCATTAGGGTGAGTTCTTAATGATAAACATCGTTAAGGGATGCTGAGGAGGCCATGGCAGATTCAAATTTTTACCATACGAAGATCAATTTGTGCGATGTGGAGGAGAGCTTGGACTCGATGTGGATGGAAGCTGACGCTGAATGTAAATTTGGTTAGTTTGATCATGACAATTGCAGCGTTCTTTGTCGTTAGCGGGCATAGAGGGTGAAAGGTAAAATGGAGGCAATTTTATTCTTCTCTGGCTGATAACCGGCAAGGCGGCTGTCCTAACTTGTGACTGCCTTTGTTGTAGAGTTGTGTCATTCAGGTTGTAAGGCGGGTTAGGTGGGGGCTGATTGTTTCTGGGAAATCTCTGTAACATAGGAATACGCAAAACTCATGTCTTGTCATGGAGATGATGGCATCATATGCTCATATCAGTTGGGAGTTGAATGGGAGAAAGAAAGTCGCTGATTGCTAGTTTCTTCATAAACAAGAAGGAACCATGAGTGCTTTGAGTATACAACGGGGTCGGATAGAATAACAACAGTCCTTTGTTGTTCTTATATATATATATATATATATATATGGCGAGTTCTACGGTACCCTGGGTGAAATCCGGGGTACCGCATACCTTGAGTATGAAAACACTATCTAGACCTTGAATTGACCGATCTTTCGGACATGATATTATACTCTAACACTTAAAGATCAAAATCTAGGTGTTAACTCTCCCAATATTATATTCCAAGATCAATTTAATTAGAAATAATAATCGACGGTTATGATTCATCCAAATATAGGCACAAAAAGGAATGCACCATCTTAGGGTTTATAGATTATGATTTAGATAATTATGACCTAGGGTTCACTCATTAAGGGTTAGGGTATAATATCAGACACAAAAATCCTGATAATTCGAGGTCTAGATAGAGTTTCCATACTCGAGGTATGCGGTACCCCGAATTTCACCCGGGGTACCATAGAAGCCACCATATATATATATATATATATATATACACGCTTTATTGGCCAAAATGTTGCTACTGTTTCATTCCTTGGCGTTTAGTGCCCAACCCTTACAAACTTCTTACCCCAACAAAGCTACCCCAACGGCAGTGAGACTTTTCCGTCTCTGCTGCACCCACCTACTATGCTTTCCCCTCTGCTCTGACCACTCTGCTGTGTTTCTCCACCTTATCTCCTTCTTGCTCGCGCACGCTACGCCCATGTCGCCTTTGCACAGCTCCTTCGACACGGCAAAAGCCATGCTTTGTACAGAAGCCTCCACTGTGCGCGGGGAAAAGCGATGCCTACTCTGTTTTCAGCCTTTCAACTCATTGTCGCCTCCTACTGGATTTGGATTTGGGATTCTTTTCTCTCTCTCTCTGTTCCCATTCACCCCCATTTCTTCCACCAGCTCTCTTTTGCTTCCTCCCTCCATAATCCCCTTTTATCATTTGCAACTCAAATCCTAAAATTCCCCTGCCGCCAGCCGCCGCCGAACCCAAAAGCGGAGGAGTACGGTTAGAATGAAGGCGACGACAAGGAAGGGGCTCCTCCAGCAAGGGTGCCATGGTGGAGTACTTCGCGACCTATTCCCTATCTCTCTTTGTTTTTTGCTGGTGGAAGAAGAAGCAGCAGGAGAAGCTGAAAAAGAAGAACACGGTGAAGGAAAAGGAAACTAACATGCTTAATGAACTGGACTGATTTTGTCAATACTTTCACCTCTCGACAGTGACCAATGAGTTATCGGTAAGGTTTTCACTTCCTACGATCAATGAGAATCTTATATTTGGTCTTGGGAGGGAAGGTTTTGTTTTGTCTCAACTTCATTTATGTCTGGTGCAGGAATCCTAGAAATTGTAATGTTCCCTTTATTTTTGTTTTGGGAGTGGGAGTGAATGAATGAGTACAATTAGTCGGTTGCAGTTTCAATTTTTCAGGATATGCTTTTTGTTCAAATGCTTTAAGCTCTGGCATTTCATATAATCGATCAATGACTTTGTGTTTATGTTCCAGTTCTGCTTTCTGAGTTACTGGTTGCCTTCCATGGAGTCATTGGTTAATGATGGAGGAGTTGGCTCTTCAACAAAAACCAGCAAGAAATCATTGGTTCCAAGAGTCCCCAGCAGCCCTCCTTTGAGCTCCTACTCAACATTTCGGTTTCAGCCTAAACAGATGCCTTAATACTTTAATGGTTTTATGGATAATGGGTGAAGGGTGGTTCTGATAAAGTATTCGAAGAACCATCCAACAAAACTGCTGAACGCTTCTACGGCTCAAGTAGTAAGGAACAATCAATGGAAAGATGAATACTTCTTTTGATTTTTATTCTTTCCTGTTCATTGCTATTTCCTCTATACATTTGCTGGTCTCTTTTCTGAGTTTTTGACTGTTTCATTTTATTTTTGCTCTTCTGCTATGTTGGGTTCAGGTTGTGCTACCCTCCTGAGATTACTTCCTGCCTGTTGTGGTTTACAATGTATTAGATTCGTGTTTATTGCTTTGATTCAAGTCGGCTTAATGAATATTGGACTACTGAACCGCCTATTCATAAATTGCTACGAGTAGACTTGAAATGCAACTCTAATCGCATGTTTCTTACGCCTCAACACTGATTGTGTTTATGATTCTTAAAGAAGCTAGGAATAAGACTACCTATTGCTGCTTCGTAGCATCCTTTCAGAATCTTGAAAGAACTCACCTGTACTGCTGCTAATATGTGTTTTCCAATCAAGAGGGAGATAGATCTCATTACCTGTAAGTTCCTTTTTATAACTCTCATTCCTAACATAATATTATTGTTATTTTCCAGATTCCTGCTTTGGTTTCTCAGACCGTTCAGATCATCAACATAGTTTATTTTTTGGTCATTATAGTGATACCAGAGGCTGTTCATTTAAAGAATACTCTGCTATTTTGTGTTTTACCTCTGTTTGATATGCTTTATGTCGGTCATAGTAAATAGAAGTTGGATTTGCTACTGCTTTTGTCTGATAAGTTTCAATGAATTTGGTCATTTCCTCATAGGACTTCTTCATTGTAACATGATAGCACAAAACTCTGCTACCTTGCTGCTTTTTTGCAAATTTCCTCTTTGTAAAGTACAATCTCACTCCATATTCCTCCTTCCATAGTTTCATTGTCTTTTAAAAATTCAATTTCTATGAATCGAGCGCATCAGATCCATATGTTCTGTAGAGTTAGTCTAGAGTTTTGACCTGGCGTATTCTAATTTTCATATGTACTTTGTCATTTAAATCCCTTAGTTTCCTTTTGAAAATTGTATGTTCAATAGATTATGGAATCAGATTTTACATGGGTTGGTTGGATGGTAATCTCACGGGATGTTGAACTAGAAAGGGAAATGCTATCAACTATGATATTAGCTTGATGATTTCCTTTTAACTTCCTGCAGGTTTGTTTATCATGTTTGCTGTCACCAGTCGGGTCACTATGAACTTATTGGTATTATTGACTTACCTGATTTGTGATAATTGCACGAAGATCAGATGTTACTCTTACCTCACCATGTACTGCTGTTGCACCTGAAGTTGGCCATGATGCTGTTTGTTAACCACTTGACCAGTCAAGTGCATGTTGTTCATATTCTGACCCATAGTAGCTTTCAAATGGGAGAGTGGGTTCAATGGAAGCGTTATTGGTTGTCCACTGAAGCTGCTGTTTGTGCGTTTCGGTGTTGTTGTTGTTACTGCTCAATGGATAATTTAGCGTCAAGTTGCTACTGCTTCATTGCATTGTTGTTGCTGCTGCATCTTTAGCTTTGAATTGTTTCCAATCAGAACTGGTAACCGGCTTTCCCTCATCGTCATTGTAATGCCCCTGGAGGTTTATGCACCATGGATGCTATCTATTTATTTAATGATCTCGAGGATCTAATGATAGATTAGTGCGCTTCAATTGATGGCATCTATTCTATGTCTTGGTTAAAATGTTGCATTACACCACAAATTGTTGAATTGATGGCATCTATTCATTCATGACACTGGTTGACTATTTGTTGAAAAAATGCAGAAATTTCACCTGCTGCACTTCTGGGAGGAAGGAAACATGCAACATGGAATAACATGGCTGCATAAAATATTGTTATACAAAGATTGTGATGGTAATTCATTTTACCTTACCACACTTACAAATCTGGAGTGATTTTTGCATAACCACTGCCATGAAGGAGACCATTAAATGATTGAGTTGATGGACACATTCCTCTAAATTGCCATGGCTCCTCGCAACTGATTAGAAGATGATGTCGCTTCAACTGAAGTCCCCGCGGCGTAGCCGTGGGTGTTGATTCTAGTTATAGTAACAACAAGATTCATTAAGGGTAAAAGAGTAAATGAACACATTAAAAATGTAAAAATTAAAGTAAAACTCAAATACGATAGAAGATAAAAGCTCACGTGCTCTACTCTCCCACACTCTTCCTCGTTCGACCTAGAACACCTTCGCCTCCGTCGATCCACCGGCTATCGGCAGAGCTCTATCCTTCACAACAATCGCGGCGGCGGCGCAAAATCAATTCCCTCTCCGTCAACCAGCCTCCAACCTCACCGATGTTGAGGCGCTCTTCCATGCTAGATCTCGTCTCTCCTCCCTTTTGTTTTCGATTCTTCTTCATCGATGCAAATCGAAGCGGATAGGGTGGTGGTCTTCGGAGCTCAAATCCTGGCGTTAAGCATGGCCGATTGAGCACGACCACTCTCTGCCTCCTCCGACCTAACACTGGGGGAGTTCGATTGGTGGTATTTATAGATGGATCATACCAAACAAACTGCTCGTAAGTCCACTGATGGAAAGGCTCCGACGAAGCAACTTGCTACCAAGGTATGGAGAGTTCTGGTTCTTTAGTGTTGTGGGGTTCCATTTCAGGGGCATGTTTTTTTAGATTGTTCAGGATTTTAAGGTGTTTGGTGCAGAGCACATGGATTTCTCTTAGCTGCATGTGACGAAACGATGAAGAATGGGGAACGAAGGGAGCTCGCCAACAAAATGGACATCAGGGTTGTAGGAGTTGGGTTTCTGAAACTGGCAAAGTTGAAAGCGAAGCGCTGCAGAGGGATATCATAGGAAAGTATCGCGATGTTAAAGCTGCGGAGGAGATTTTTGGTGATTCGATGGATGAAAATGAGGTCATGGTATTTGATAATGGTGGGGAAGACAAACAACAGAGCAGAGAGGTTGAGAGAAGAAAAGATATGATCAGTTGTTGCAAGAAAAATTGTTGTATGAAAATACGAGTGAATCGACGACTAATGCTATTTGTATCAGTATGAGTGCTTTAATATGTAAGAGCTCTTTTACAATTAGTGATTTGCGATTCCAAATGGGGTTGTAGCCTTGTAACAATTTTATATTTGTTTGTTAGTTATCAGCACAAACTTTCTAATAGAAATCACAAACACCATAAAACAAATCACAAAAAGCTAACTAGAAACATCCTAATGCAGAACACAAATAACCTAAAATATACCAGAAACCTCACAAAACAAACCATAAATATTTCTTGCACACCAGAAATCTTATAATGCAGATAATAAATACGATAAAACAAACCACAAAAAAACATACCAGGAACCTCCCAATGCATGCCACAAATTTCCTAAAACAAACCAGAAATCTCACAAAGCAAACTATAAATATTTTGAAAAGCACACGAGAAACCCCCTAATGCAAACCACAAACAAGGTAAAGCAAACAAAAAACGTCCTAATGCAGACCACAAATATATTAAAACAAACCAGAAACCTCGCAAAGCAAACAACAAAAGTTTCGAAAGCACACCAGAAACTTCTTAATGCAAACTAGGAACCTCCTAATGCATACCACAAATCTCCTAAAACAAACCACAAACCTCACAAAGCAAACCACAACATTTGCGAAGCACACCAGAAACCTCCTAATGCAAACCACAAACACAGTAAATCAAACCACAAGAAAAGCAAACCATAAACGTCCTAATGCAGACCACAAATATATGAAAACAAACCAGAAACCCCTCAATGCAAACCACAAAATTTTTGAAAGCAAACCAGAAACTTCTCAATGCAAACCACAAACACGATAAAGCAAACCACAAAAGGCATACAAAAATATGAGAAACCAAACCATAAATCTCACAATGTAGACCATAACATCCAGTGGTCGTTGATCGTTGACCGTTGAGTGGTCAACGAAAATCGTTGACCAAACTCCGATGATGTCAGTGAGCAGATTTCGGCGCCGATAGGCATATTCCGGTCTCGATGACTAGATTCCGACGCTGGTAAACATATTCCAACCATGGTGAGCATATTCCGGCGACGATGAGCATATTCCGATGACAAAATAGCATAATCCGGCGACAAAAAAATATTCCGATGACCAGCGACCGGTGGTCGAATTCCAGTGACCAATATTTTGGGCATAAAATAAAAAAAAAATATTTTTTATTTGGGTTAATTGCATGCATGGTTGCTCACTGAGATTACAAAAAACGTTCAAGTTTGGTCACTCGAAATATTTAAATCGATTGATGGTACTTCAGTTTACTGAAACCGTTCAAGTTTGGTCACTCTCCGTCCAACTCCGTTAACTTTTGCTGATGTGGCAGTCAACTCTTAAAGTTGACCGTTAACTTAGTGACGTAGCATTTAAAAAATAATAAATAAAATAAAATTTAATCTATTTTAAATTACCAGTTCATTTTTACCATAAAATAAATAAATAAAATAAAATAAAAATAATTATAATTATCAAATTGAAAAGGGCACTTCCTCCTCGTCGGAGCAGCGACGCCTCCTCCTCGTCTCTGCAAAATTGAGCTGTAAACATTGCCCCCTGCCACTGTGTATGTGTTTCTCATCAGAGAGTGGGAGGAGAGACAGTAAGACAGAGAAGCACGCTCAAACTCAAACCGAGGAGCAGCAGAGAAGTTCGTAGCAACAGTGTATGCTGAAGTTGATTATGCGTTCATAGAACAAACCATGAATTCAGTAGTATCATAGAAAGAAAAGAACCAGGTGAAAAGGGGGGGGATGGCGGCGGCGAAGAAGGGACGGCGATAGTATTCCCTTTATTAATTAATTAATAATAAAAAAAGATACACAAGCCTTACTCGAAAATCCCTAAAACCCCTAATCCAGAATCTCCTCATCTACTCCCAAAATCAAATTCCACACTTTCCCCAAAACATGGCTTCAACCTCCGACCCAAGAACGCCGGACACCAGAGTTCGAATCCTCTCAACAGAAACCATCCACGCCAACAACACTCAAACTCTTCTCGAACGGATTCCCCTCACTGCCTGCGACATCTGTCTCATCCTCGTCAGCACCATCCAAAAGGGTCTCCTCTTCCGAAGCCCGACCGATGATCATCCCATCTCTCGTCAGGCCTTCATCGAAAACCTGAAATCCGCCTTCTCCAAGACTACCCATTCGCCGGCCGATTCTCCGCCGACGAACACCCTGACGGCTCCGCCACCGCCTACATCGACTGCAACAACGCCGGGTGCCCGTTCCTTTACGCCGTCGCCGAGGCCTTGCGGCAGCCTTTCGCCGTCCCTCCCGCTCCCGTCACCTGAAGAAGTACCACGGATTCACAAGGCCGCAGAAGCAAGAAGAACAAAACGATTCAGATACACCTGAACTTGTGAATTAGCTCAACTAAGGAGGCCAAGAAGCAAAGGAACGATTCAGATACAGAAACAAAACGAGTTATAGAATGTCTTAAAGGAGCTGCAACGCAGACTCTGTTCCACCAAACTACGAGCAGTTAGTACAGTAGAGAGAGGCCGACCCTTTTGATTTTGGTGCTCTTTAGTTTCTTGACATCTTCCTTTTCTGCTTCAAAGTAGAATCTGAAGGTAACGGTGAGCCCAGCATATTTGACATACCAAATTTCAGCCTCTTCTAGTATTCTTTGCTTGGTCTCAACTAACAAATTCTCGTCATACCACAAATATACATTATCTTCTGATGCCGTACCATCCAAATGTAAACCATGACTGCTCCAAGAGGCAGCTGTTAAGGTGTCGATGTTGCAATCGCACTTAATATCCAGCCAGTCGATCCAAACATCCGAAGAACACACAACGCCGAATGCAATCCCCTTAATTGGTTGCTTACTGGAGTTTGGAAGCGGCAACCGCACCATCACACATGAATCTGGAATCTCATTCCCTGAATATTGAAGATCGCCCTGTTACAAAACAGAGAGGCAGTTTTCATTAGAAAAATGTCTCCCAACACTTTTTCCCACGGCTAATCATATAAATAACAAAAACATTATATTACTGCAATTTTCATATACCCGAGGATGTAGATACAAAGTTGCATGAATAGGGAAATTCTCCACCATTTCTTCAGGAAGATTCTTGTCCAATCGCGGGCAATCGTCAAAGCACAAGTACTTCCATCTCAGCTTGCCTAAGTTGCTTGGTAAGGCTTGTAACAACTTGCAACCACTTACATCCAAAAGTATAAGATTGGGCGGGAGTTCTGGTAAAGATTGAATCATCGAACAGCCCGTCAAGTACAAAGAGGATAACTTGGCAAGTTTATGGATGGCGCTCGGGACAAGCTCGAGGCTTTTGCTCAAGGACAGATCTAAAAGAGAGAGCTGGTCCAGCTCCTGGATACAAGCAGGCAAAGACGTAATATCTGTTGCACAGAAATAGAGAGCCTGTAAAGATCTCAGATTGTTGATACCAGCTGGAAAACTCTCCAAGTTTCCACATTTGAATATTTGAAGCTCAGTTGAGCCATTAACAGGCTGTGAGACCTCTGGCAAACTTTCAATCAACGGGCAATCATCAAGTACGAGTGTTTGAGAGACCATCGTCCAGATATTCATTGACAAGCTCTTGAGTTGCGGGTTGTCAACCAACTCCAGTTGAACAAATCGTGGCAATAGTAATTCAGAAGAAGCTAGATGATCTTCATCATAAGATTCCATCTCTCTTATTATGGTATGGCACAGCCGAAACAAGTTCAAGTTTGCCGAAATTGCTGGGAAGCTGGTGATGTGTTTGCCGCAGAGACGGAGGATACTACCCTGCTTCACATTGAAAATTGCACCCGGCAAGACTGTGACAGGTGTCTCCATCAAATCTAAATGCAACAATCGTGAATTAATCTCCGGACAACGAATAAACATGGGACAGTTGGACAAGTAAACATGCTCAAGGAATTTTGAGCTGAGTTTCGCGGGAAGACTGCGCAGATTTATACAATCACCAAGATCCAGTGTAATCAGCTTGTTCAAATCTTGAATATGAGATGGTAGCTCGATCAGGCTTTTACATCCCCGGAGATAAAGGTACTCGAGATTTGGAGAACTCGACAGGTCTGGGACATCAGTTAAATTTATGCAGTCGGACAGGTGAAGCTCCACTAGATTCACAAGCTTTGGCTGCAAAAGAACAAGAATATAAAACAAGGCTAAGATATATAATTCCTCTTTTGAGTTTTAGGGGAAAAATGCATTATTAAACACACTTGAGCAATAAAACAATCATTTGTTAGAAAACTGGAAGAAATTGATACCTTTTGTTTCGAAATATATCATTGTGAATATCATAACACATTAAAATTGTTTTTTTTTCCTGTGAAAACAAAACTGATATGAATATCACAACTCAAATACGCAATATATGAATAGATGACCATTAACGCGATAAAAAGAAGAAGAGAAAAGAGAGAACACATCAGATTGCACCAAGTATCACTCACAATCACATGTGGGGGGGGGGGGGGGGGGGGGGGGGGGGGGGGCAAGGGTCTCAAATGACTTTGTTTTTGTTAACATAATAAATCCATGCTTGAACTCATCACAAAAATTTGCAAGTGTTTCCAACACACCTGAACTTCCCAGCATCTTTCTATGAATGGGCTAGGTCGTATAGCAAGTAGGACAAGGTTTTCAGGGGAGAATCTTGATGGTAGAGATTTTGAAGGGAATCCATCCCATAGCAGCCACCTCAAGCTGTCAGGAAGCATGTCAAGGCCACCACTTGGTAAATGAACTTTGCGAATTCCATGCTCTTCTGCAAAATAGACGAAGCAGAGAAATCTCAAAGAAGTCATCCCTTCGAATGTGGTAGCTTCTAAATACATCTCATTGGCTTTGAATAGGTCCAAACTAATGCCTTCTGTTTTCACCTTCCGAATTGTTAAAATCTTGCGAATATCATCGACATTATTCAATCTACTGCGATTTGCAAGTTCTAATTCCTCATTAACAATGTTCCAAGCCATTTCTCTTAGCAAATCATGAACCTCAATGTTCTCATAATCTTCGCTGGAGACACAAATGAGCAGGGACTTACCAATTAGATCCTCTAGTACATAATTGGCACATTGATAACCAATAGAAAAATATTTCATCACTATATTTTTCCGCTGCCGATGAAGAAAACAAGCAGTATCGAGAAACAATCTCTTCTCAACAATACCAAGCTCGTCATAGCTCCTCCTAAGCACATCATGAATTTCCGGCTTTGGAATTTTCTGCAGTTCACACAAGAAACTCTCCCAGTAACTTTTGTCTCTACAATACAAAGTACCTCCCAGAACTTTTATGGCTAAAGGGCTTCCCTTGCAGTAAGATATAGCCACAGCTGATAAACGCATCCAATCATCAGGGGGGAGGTATTGTCTAAATGCATGTATACCAAAGAGTTGAAGAGATTCCTGAGAATGCAGACCCTCAACATAGTATATATTAGCCCTTGCATTTTCAAGCACTCTTCGGTTTCTCGTTGTCACAATAATTCTACTCCCCAAGGCAAACAAATTGAAGGTATTCAAAAGATCTCCCAACAACAAGTGCTCTAGCTCTGAAAAATTTTCCACATCATCAAAAACAAGGAACAACTTCAGCCGAGAAAGACGATCCCTTCTATAACTAACATCCAAATCTTCATAACTTATGTTGTCCTCGGACAACAATGCTGAATAGAGTTCTTGCACGATTCCTACCATCCCATTTTCCTTTTCACATGTTTGATGGATGTTTCGAACAAATTGACGCTTTGTTCCTTTAGTAGAGGATGTAAACCTTTGATAGCAAGCTCTAGCCAAAGTGGTCTTCCCTACCCCACCCATCCCCCAAAGTCCAATAATCCGAAAATCATTCACGTTCAAAGCCAGTAGTTTTTCAACCTCACAAATGCGAGCATCCATGCCAATCAACATATCAGACTTCACTCTCGGTGACATGTGGACGAGTCTTTTCAAAACATCACTCACTATCACCTTAACTAACTCGGAGTCGATCCTAAGAATGCAAAAAGGCAAAACAAAGAGAAGATGGGGGAAATCTTCCTTGAGAAAGTGGGGAATTGAATTTTACAGAAACAATTATTTTAGTAATGCTAGCTCTAAGGAATAAAGGGATACTTACTTGATTTCTTGTGAGGTATGGCCAGTACAATTAGCCACAGCTTTCAAAGCACCCATCCACCTCTTCCTATCCTCTGGAAAGTTGCTAGCTCCATATTTTAACTTAATGGTAGCAGCATAACTCCCACAATCCTCTGAAACATCGGATGGATCCACTTTGTAGAAAATCGGAAGCACCCGGTGTCCGAATTCTTCCATGATTTGAGAAATGGTGGCCACTTCATCCAAACACCAGCTTGAATCTGCGAAATTCTCCGAGAAAATCACGATAGATAGTGCAGATCTTTGTAGGACAGAGATTAGCTCGCCGATGCTCTCTGTTTTTTCGAGCATGTCATCAATGAAGGCTTTGATTTGCTCGCGAGAGAGAGCTTCCATGAGGTGGCTAGTAAAACTATTGCGGGTGTCGGCTCCTCTGAAGCACACAAAAACATCATACTCCCACTTCCCATTATACATGACCCTATGAGATGAAGAGGAAGAAGAAAGCATTAAAGCTTTAGAAGAGGAGGAAGCCATTAGATTGAAGGATCTTTGATCTGATTATTTCTGATTAACATAGCAAAGGGATAGTGGGTTGTGGGGTTGACTTACTTTTCTTTTTACTTTTCCTTGTTGGCATTAATGGGATTGGCTATATGACTTGTTCTTGGCTCATTGTTTAATTGCTTCCTCACCTAATCCAATTCCTGCTATCGTCATCATCTTCATATACAAACAGCATCTTTCCATTCTTAGATTCACAATTGACAGTTGACGAGAGGTGATCATCACCATAGACGAAACCATCAAAATTTATTGTTAGCATCGAGTAGTGAGTACCATCCAAGCATATTACCTAGCCATTTATTTTGTTGTGACACTTACCTCTTCACTTCTAAACATCTAATTCTAGTTACAGTTCAGATTTCTACCAAACAAAAACCAACAGTAGGAGGATGCTTTTCAGAGTTCAAACAAATGCCAGTACATATGTACCAAAATTAGAAAGACGATTGAAGATAACAGATAGATAGGCATTACCGGAGAGTGGAAACAGTTATCTCCACCATATTTAATAAACCCAAGCTTGCATTCGGCGGCGGATTGATGGATGCCCCCATCCAAAGCTAAAGCCTCCAACTCTCTTGAGCGTGCTCTCTCTTTCTCTCTCTCTCTCTCTCTCTCTCTCTCTCTCTCTCTCTCAGGAACCTCCGGTAGATCCATGGCGGCACCGACGATTCGAATGAGGTCATTGATTTGGAGAGCAGAAGAATGAATTCCGGTTTCCAGAGTGTCCTTCGTGGCTCAATTACTGAAAGCTTCGAGAGGTAGTGAAGCTGCCGTTTTTTGTTCAAGGCGAGATGTGTTGGCTTTTTTAGTATTTTATGAGCTTTGAAGACCAGGGCACCAGGCCCATTTATTGTTTGGATTCTTAATACTTATCCATTAACGGTGCTCACAAAAATGAGTTGAAGTAGTGTTAAAAAACATTGTATTCTATTATAAAAAAATAAATTCTTATTTTAATTAGTAACATGATATAATATAATATCACAACTAATTAATTCATTAACTCTAATCATTAAAATTTTAAAATTTTAAACACAAACTCAAAACTACAAATTATAAACCATTAATCCTAATCCTAAATCTTTAAACTCTAAAACTTTCAAATCAAAGTAAATATTGAATAATTATTATGAAAACTCATGTATTTTCTTGTTTATTATATCACAAATTACAATTGACATCATTTTGACACGAATTGCCTTCTAAGAATGACGATATGAAATAAGTGTATTGAATTCACCCAAAAAATTAAGTGCACCACAGATAAACCCCATTAATTTGTTGACCTCTGAAAAGTTTTTGTGACAAATTTGTTGGCTTATCAATTCTAAAAGTATTATATGAATAGATGAAATTTTGCTATTTAAATATTCATTATCCAAATGAAGTCTACGTGACTTTTAAGTTTTCAATTGTTCTAATTGCTGAAATCGTGATTTTTTTTTCTTTGAGAAAATTCAAATTTTACAAGTCACACCTAAATAAATATTTAAAAGATTTGAGATTCTTATCATTATAATATTCTTGAACTAATCATAAAAAAGAATTCTTGAACTATCCTCATACGTCAATGTTAGCTGTTAGCAATCAAACATGTTTAATGTTTTTGAATATAAATATTTTTATTTTAAATTATTATTTGATAATTTATTATTTTTCAATTATGACATTTCTATATGATTGTTGACCATGAAGTTCAGACCTAATTTATGGTAACTTTTTTTGTTAGATTATCAATAGGCTATCCTTGGAGTTTCTAATTATGAATAATTGTTTTATTTTTGTTTGAATTTAGTATAAAAATAAATTAATAATTCTTAACCTAATGAACAAGTACCTTTTTCTTATGAAATATGAAAAATATGCGAACAACCATAAACTATGATGACTTGATCAAGATCTATTAATTAATTATTCATAATCCCACAAATAATATGTAGCACAAAAACTACTTTCAAATCATGCATGTTTAGGAGATCCCAAATCATTTGAAATATCAAGTAATTAGCACTAATTTGGGTCCGTAATTGTTTTTTTAATTCTTTTTCGGAAAAGCTAAGAGGCCCGTAAGTTAATGGGCCTTGCTGGCTTCTGTTTTCCCCGTCCAGCAATTGTCACAAGTCACAACTACATCTATAAATGCGTATACATACAGCCGACAAGATTCCTACCGTCTGCAAAATCACACAACTGTACCAAGACCGCAAGAGCGATCCACAACAGTAGCCCAGAAGAAGAAGAAGAAGAAGAAAGGCACAAATGGGAATCGAGAAGGAGCTCATCCGCCCGGGAAACGGCCCCAAACCTTCTCGCGGCCAGAAAGTCACCGTTCATTGCACCGGCTTTGGTTATCTTTTTATCTATCCCTGCATTCAAAACCCTCTTACTTGTATTTCGATTTCTCTTCTTCTGCCGGACTTCAATCTGCGTGACATTGACGCGTTCATGGCGATGAACCTTTAGGGTTTAGTTTAGTAATGAACACAGCTAGGCTTTGGGCGAGACTCATTAGCTGATTGATTATCTTCGTCTATTGATTTGCAGGGAAAAATGGCGATATGTCTGAAAAGTTCTGGAGGTGAGGGCTTATCATTTCTGTTGTTCTATTGAATCATTATTGGTCACTTTGGCCTGCAAAACTTGGTCCAAGTTCCTACCTTTTCTATTGTGTTTGTGAGTTGAATAGAACCCCTTTGTTCCTGTATTTCAGCACAAAGGACCCAGGGCAGCAACCTTTCTCTTTCAATATTGGCAAGGGAAGCGTCATAAAAGGTGAGCCCTCATGTTTTTATTTCCTCGTTTTGAAGTGAAATTCATTGGCTACTTTGTTATCTTCCACAATACTGTGCTTAGCTTCCCCACCCATGGTGTGGATTTTACTATTAAGTGATTTTTGGATGTTGTCAGTACTTTTCTAGAGTGAGCATCCTGTACCTAGAGCATAAATATTTTCCATATAGTTCAACAGGCTCTCTTCTATGGGTAATATATAGTTGGTGATCCAATGCTGTTACCCAATGATTTTTAACATAATCTATCACCGTATGTTTGGAAGAATGTTTTTTTATAGCTTTAGTTAGTACTGAAAGTATTTGGAAAAGAGAGATTGACCGGATAATCTTCTCTGCTGCTTCCAGAGTCGATTTGTCTGCATTTGTGTTCTTGTTAGCTCATCCTTGAGAATTCTATGCTTGTAATCTTTGTATCAATTCTTCTTAGTTCTTGCGCAACTGCTGATAATTCTTGTTAAATATATCTGTAGGGTGGGATGAAGGTGTCATGGGAATGCAAGTGGGAGAAGTCGCTCGTCTGCGGGTAATGTTTCTTGTTTTCTTCCCCTCCCCATATGCTGGATTATTGTTTATGCACTAAATAAGAATGAGTTTTTGCTGAGTGTGAATGATACCCAGATTGCATGCCAGGGGTAGAGAGTATGTTACTTGATGGAGTTGAATCTTCATGTTTCATGGCTCTTTCTAGGTTTTAAGGTTTGAACTTTTTATGGTGAGGTTAATTCCATACGCTGTTAGAAAAACTTGTCAGGAAAAAAGTACAACCTTTATGTCATTGCTACTCCAAAACTACCCATCCTGGTTGGTAGATAGGCGACTTGTTAGGCTTTGAATCTCGCAAGTCAATAGTTTGAATTTCAAAACCCTGCTTGGCAAGCCAGCAGATGACTGCATCCTATTCGATTAGGCTTTGAATGTTGCTATACTTGAGGCTCTTAAAAGTTAAGGTAACACGTTTGGCTTTTAATGAGTGGAAGATTTAGTTAGCCATATCATGTCATGAAAGAGCTCCCTCATCCTAGCCGTTTCTCTATTCTGCTGCTTGATGATGCACACAGCACCTAATGATGTTGCTCTATGAACGAATTTTCAGTGCTCCCCGGACTACGCCTATGGAGCTGCCGGATTTGGAGCATGGGGAATCCTGCCCAATTCACCTCTGATCTTCGAGATCGAAGTCCTGAGCGCAGAGTGATCCCTCTTAGCAAGTGGCGGAAGAAGATCCATGGAGTTGCAGTATGTTTCGTGTTGTTGTTCAAGTCCTCGGGATTACCTAGAGTAATAATGGCCGCCTTGTAATCGAGACATGTCTATGTATGTTCGTAACTGCTCACTTTGAATCATATACTGCCAGCAAACTCTCGGATTTGAGCATCAATTTGTCAACTCGGTGTACTGTTCTTTGATCATCCACTCATGCTCCACAATTATAATGCATGTTCCACGGGTACAATTTTCATCATCTTAACTGCAAACTGTGGCGTGAAATGAGATGCTTGAAGCAGCAGAATTTCCCTACGCTATGATACACGTAGGGCTGGAAGTTTGGTACCGGTATTTGGGATATACCGAATACCGCACTGAATTTATCTATATTTAGTATTACCGAATACACGTATTATTTTTTGAGATTGAGATTGGAATTGAATTTCAATTGTTATTCGGTATTAGGGATTACGAGATTGAGATCGGTATATACCGAAATACCGACCAATACCGAAATATAAGCTAGTGTGTATTTTACTATTTTATACTCTCAACTAGATTCTCTCATTCACTATTACACGACCCTAAACTACCAAGAGTGTCATTTAGTTATACATAGATCATTCTATCACTATTAATAGTCGTCTCTCAACCTCCAATTCGTCAAATTAATGATTACCAATGCAAAACTTGAGATGTCTCCTCTCCTCCTTTCTCCTTGATAATATCATAATTCAATACACTTTGCTTAGTTTTTACCCCCTAAATTAAAAGTAAAATATAATGTATATATTTAATTATTAACTGCAAAGGTAATTAATTTTGTATTTGATAATACCGATTGGGATGCCGAAATATTTAGGGATTGGGATTGAGATACCGAAATTATTTAGAAATTGAGATTTGAATTAACTTTAGGGCATAATTCGATATTCGAGATTTCGGTATTTGATATTGGGATACCGATACCGTACCAATTTCCATCGTAGATACGCGACTTCAACATTTTTCTCAGAAGCTAAAGGCCCAAGTTAGCACAGGTTTTTACCAAACGGGGAAGAAGTGGGCCGAGTAAAGATGACAACTCCCGAGCCCAGTGCGGAATGTTTGTGTGAGGATTATCCGAACGGCGTCGTCAATCACGAGTCCACAAAGAAGGCAAGAAGTACTAGAGTGCCACTGGCCAACTCTTCCGTCTTTCGTCCTCTTGCAAGAAACCTCAGAGGCTTTCTCCCTCGGTGCTCTGCCTCTGTCGCTGCTGCGGCCCGCGAGTTCCTCTTCTTCCTCTCTATTCTTCTTCGGGTACATCTTTTGTCTACGCTCTGTAGTCTGTCCTTTTCTGCAGAGATTCTCGCTTGAGCAGTTCATAGCTGTACGAATTTCGGTGGCTGGGTTGATTGATATTGCTCTACTAGTTTGAATCGAAGTTAATGGTGGGGTTTAGGTTTTCAAATCCGAGGGCGGTTGGTAGTTCCATCAGGTCTGCCTGGAGGGCGCAGCGGTCGCTGAGATCCGGCAATCACTACACGAAAGAATGTAGTCTGGTTAGGTCTTTGGCAACTGCCCCGACTTTGCTGAGCTCTGATTCTCCTTCACATTCCAAGCGTTTCAGTTCCAATTCGGTGGCGGGTCGTTCGTCCGCTCTTCTTGGTTTCTACTCTGCGAGAGCCGTTCCTTTCGCCTGTGCGAGCCCTTTCTTGATTCAACGCTCTTGTTTCTCGACCTCCAGTGGCAAAGGTGAGAAACCTGGTGGTGATAGTGCAGTCTCTGCTGGAACTGGAACTGATGTGAGCGATGGAGGAAACGGAATTTCAGGTGGTGAGTGGATGGATAAGCTTAGCGATGTGTGGCACAGCGTAACTAATGCTGTCAACTATACAGCAGAAAGGGCTAAAGAGGTCTCTGATGGAATGACCCCTCATGTCCAGAATGTGCTTGATTCGTATCCCTATCTTAACACTGTGGTTGTTCCTATTGGCTACACACTAACTGGTACCATATTGGCATGGGTGGTTATGCCTAAGCTTCTGAGAAGGCTTCAAAGGTTTGCACTGCGAACTCCTGGTGGAGTACTCTCCACGAGCATAATCGGGCAGGAAATTCCTTATGAGAAAAGTGTCTGGGGTGCTTTGGAGGATCCTATGCGCTATTTGATCACGTTCATGGCATTTTCACAAATGTTAGTTCCTCAAGAGCTGCACAAGTTGCCTTCTGTTGTTTTTCTTTTCAGCTATGCAACTAATAGTTGTGTACTTTTTCCATGTGTTTTGGACTCGTGTCTTGTAGTTGTACAATGTTGGCTCCAACTACTGTGGCATCACAATATCTCGGACAAGCATGGAAGGGTGCAACAACTATTTCCTTAATGTGGTTTCTTTATCGGTGGAAGACCAATTTGATCAGTCGTGCGTTGGCTTCACATAGTTTGGCCGTTGCTGATCGAGAGAAGTGGTTAACCTTGGATAGAGTTTCCTCTATTGGGCTTTTTGTTGTTGGCCTAACGGCTTTCGCTGAGGCATCGGGAGTGGCTGTGCAGTCTATTTTGACAGTTGGAGGAGTTGGAGGTGTGTCTTAGTGTGGATTGCATTTGTTATACCTCATTGTTTGAAATTTGCATCATTAATTCGGTCTTCTGTTATTTTGTGTATTTTTCTGATAATGCAGGTGTGGCTACTGCATTTGCTGCTCGTGATGTCCTTGGAAATGTTCTCAGTGGTTTATCAATGGAAGCTTCAAAACCTTTTTCACTTGGAGATACGATAAAGGCAAGTGGATCATTTTAAGAATTTGGATAAACTTCTAGATAAATTGTCCTATAGTATTTACTAATAAGCCATCTAGTTAGTTTCTCTTTGTAGCACCACAATACAACTTTCAGTTATGACATAGATTGATGGAAATCACACTTAAGTTGTATTTAATTGGAATAGGAGGTTCACAGAACCTATGTTTGCTTTAGCAAACTGATGTGTGAATCTCTTGAATGCAGGCGGGTTCTATTGAAGGCCAAGTGGTTGAGATGGGACTAACTTCTACAATGTTACTAAATGCTGAGAAGTTTCCAGTAATAGTTCCAAATTCATTGTTTTCTAGTCAGGTGTGTGTTTCATTATGCTTCTATGTTTTCCCCTAGTGGTATTTTCCCCTAGTGGCTGTGATCTTTTTAAAGAGCCTCATGGCACGTTCTATTTGTTTGATGATGCAAAGTTCTATTTTTCTTGGTCTGTGCAATTTTAGGTGATTGTAAATAAGTCTCGTGCTCATTTCCGCGCTATGGTGAAAGTAATTCCTCTGGTAGTTGATGATGTGGACAAGGTTGCACAAATTTCGAAGGACATTGAGGGAATGATAAAGGCAAACCCAAAGGTTTTCTTGGGGAAGGAGGTTCCTTACTGTTTCTTGTCCAACATTGGAAGCTCCTCTGCAGAATTGACTTTGGGATGCAATCTTAAGCACATGGTAACCTTTCTTTCCTATAGTGGTCTCTTATTTACTAACACCATTCAGCCTTCATTTTTTGTTTCATCATGGAATCTAGTTCCCCAGAAGCATAATTTGCTCTCTGCATAGTTTAGACTACAAACCATATAACCATGTCCATTTCTATGAAGCTAAATAGTGATGCACGAAGTAGAGATTCAAATGGTGGAATGATTTCGTGATTTGCTGTTGCACAAGGTTATGCATAATCGTCCGCTACAATGGCTTAAGCAAATATCTAAGAGGCTTATTTTATGTGGAAAACATGCATGCATTTGTGTTATCACTGCACTCTTGTTCCTGTTTCTGGTTGCTGGGAATGACTAGGACTGTATTAGTCAATTGGTAATTAGTACCACATGCATACAGCCATCAGTAGCTTAGCAATTTTTAATGTCTATTTTGTCATGTCTAACTAATTCCTTTTCTTCACAGAGCAAATATGATTGTTATGCCACTGAACAGGAGATACTCTTGGAGTCTGCTCGCATAATTAAAGGACATGGTGCCAGACTGGGAAGTACTTGGCAATCATAATTCCAGTGGATGCTGAGTTGGTCTCTTCTTATTTCCTTGTCATGTAAATGTTCAACTGATCCATTTTGGCAAATAGGACGTTGAAACCCTATACATATAGTCTCACAAATCTGCAGAAATCCTTATGACGGTTAACAAGATTGTCTACCACTGATCCGTGATGTTTTTTTTTTTTTTTGTTTGTCGAACACAAGATACATCCCTTGGCCAGTAGGAGATTTTGGGAGATACTATCTGAAATGTAATTAGGCTTATGACATAGGTCAGGCTACATCTGTGTTTGCTTTGAGTTTCAGTGGGAGAGACGTGCGTTTATTGAGCTCTATATTCAGAATTAGAAGACAGTGTCATTGCCTATTTCAATCTTTTGGTTGCTGATCTTGTTTGTATCTTTTCCTCTTCAAGTTAAGCAAATCTGTGGACTATCTCTAGTGTGACAGCTTAATGGTAAATGGCATATCGTGGTCTTGAACTCTTGGTTAATGTTCCTGTTGTCACTTTACCCGCCTTAGCAAAATAGGCATTGTCTACGGGAAATCAAGCTGGTAGGCGATTTAAGCTGTGTGAGACGATTTTACCACAGTAAAATCACAATATATCTTATTATTGCCCCGTTCACCCTCTTAAGCATCTTGTTCAGCAACATCCTGCTACGTGGAAAACGAACCTACCACTGCTGCGCCGGGAGGAGCTGGAAGAGAGTGTTACCGGGGAGATGGGAGAAGAAAGCAGCAAACTCCTTGAAAATGTCACAATGTAGTTGGCATTTGCCCGTTCCTCCAAATAGAAACAAAAACAGAGACCTTCCTCCTCAAAAAACGTCACCATCCAAGGCCCGCCTGCGTACCTATCCACGTCTCCAGAGATGGAGCCCTTTCGGTAACTCCAAAAACCTTTTTAAGAAGAAGACTTGGCAGAACCAATGTAGAATCATTCCCCTTTCTTTCTCCCATTTTCGTTCTGAACTCCCTGTTTTGACCGTTTTCCAGAGTCTCATCAAAGTGAGAAAAGAAAAGATCGGAGAGAAAGAAAGAGGAAAAAAAAAAAATCCCCAATGGAAAACAGTCTACCAATCAGCAACAAAACCCAGTACGAAGACCTGCTGCCGGTGATGGCGGAGAAGCTCGACGTGGAGGGTTTCGTAAAGGAGCTCTGCGGAGGGTTTCAGTTGCTCTGCGACGCCGAGAAAGGGCTCATCACGGCGGAGAGCCTGCGGGCCAATTCGGAGCTTGTGGGGATGGAAGCGATGACGGAACAAGACGCGGAAGCCATGGTGAGAGAAGGAGATCTGAACGGCGACGGGGCGCTGAGCGAGACGGAGTTCTGCATATTGATGGTGAGGCTGAGCCCTGGGATGATGGAAGATGCAGAGGCCTGGCTGGAGAAGGCTCTGCATCAAGAGCTGCTGCGCTCTGAATCACTCCTTTGAAAAGGGCCCTCTGGATAGGGAATTTTCTTTCTTGCTTTGTTTCTGCTGGTGTGATTCCTGGAAACATAAAGGTTCGTATTTCTTGCTTTGTAAGTCGTTGACTGTTTGATCGAGTGAAAGAGATATTGTAAACCAATCTTCAAAAAGTTATTATCCTTATATTTATAGGAAAACTTATGGTTATTAAGTCATTACGACAGTTAAATAGATTATAAAAATCGTAAAGTTGTGGAGACATGTCGTGTATTATATTTATAGGAAAACTCATAAATCTAGCGCTTTACCATCTAAGTTCCATCTCATTGTTGTGCATTGTGATCATATTGAAATCTATACATGTTTAGTTAAAAAATATAAAGTCCAGGTGAATTTGAAGCCTATATTTAACTATAGGAGTGCATTATATTTAAAGGATAATGTAAAATAAATTTTAAGAAATTGAAAAAAATGTAATATTTTAAAAATCATGGAGATGCGGGGTATCAATTCCCGTACATCTCGCATGCTAAGCGAGCGCTCTACCATCTGAGCTACATCCCCTTATTGTGCAATTTACTCAAATTCAAGCATATATCGCTTCCGTTATAAATATAAAATGCAAGTGAATTTGAAGCCTGTATTATAGCAGTGCATTATGTTTATAGGAGAATTGATGACGATTATTAAGTCATTACATGCTCAACTAAATAAATTTTATGGAGATGCAGTGAGCGCTTTACTATTTATCGTACACTCATTTGTTATGCATTGAGCTCAAATTGAAGCTTATATCTCTTTAGTTAAAAGTATAAAGTCCAAATGAATTTGAAGCATGTGTATATACTAGTGCATTATATTTATAGGAAAACTGATGGTGATTGTTAAGTCATTACATGTTCAATTAAATAAATTGAAAAAATCTGAAAGTTACAAAGATATTGGTTATAGTCGTATAGATTTTCGTACATCTCACATGCTAAGAGAGTGCTCTCCCATTTGAGTTACATCCCGTTGTTGTACACTCTTCTCATATTGAAGCCTATATCGCTTTAGATAAAAACATAAAATGCAAGTGAATTTGAAGCCTATATTATAGGAGTGCATTACATTTATAGGAAAAAATTATCATGATTATTAATTCATAACATGCTCAAATAAATAAATTGTATGAAATCTTAAAGTTGCGTAGATGCAACAAGCTCTCTACCATCTAAACTATATCCCTTGGTGTGCACTCTGTTCAGATTGAAGCCTACATAAGTTTAGTTAAAAATATAAAGCCCAAGTGAATTTGAAGCCTTTACCATCTACTCTACCATCTGAGCTACATCTTCTTGTTGTGCACTCTACTAAGGTTGAAGCCTACATCGCTTCAGATAAAAATATAAAATGCAAGTGAATTTGAAGCCTATATTATAGGAGTGTGTTATATTTATAGGAAAAACAATGATGATGATTAAGTCATTACATGCTTAGATAAATAAATTATACAAAATATTAAAGTTGTGGAGATGTAGCAAGCGCTCTACCATCCAAGCTACATCCTCTTGTTGAGCACTGTGTTCATTTTGAAGCTTATATCTTTTTAGTTAAAAATATTTCACGTGAATTTAAAGCCTGTATTTACAGGAGTGCAATATATTTATAGCAAAAATGACGATGATTGTTAAGTCAATATATGCTCATTTAAATCAAATGTAAAATATTTAAGAGTTTTGGAGATGTGGGGTATCAATTCTCGTACCTCCCGCATGCTAAGCAAGCGTTCTACCATCTGACCTATATCCCAATGTTGTGCACTCTACTCAAGGTTATATTGATTGAGTTCAAAATATAAAATGCAAGTGAATTTGGAGGTTCTAGGAGTGCATCTACAAAAGATATAATAGCAAAACAAAGGTTAGATTTTCAGGGATTCAAATTCCCAGCCACCAGAGGGTTTCCCGGAAGGGTAACTTTGTCATTTCACCTCTGTTAATTGAACCCTTGCGTTTTGTTGAGGAGAAGAATGGACAGGCCAAATCGCCAACCCCGCCAAATAAAACAGCCAAACGCAAGTCGGCCCACTTACGGTCCCAAACACCCGCTGGTGAGAATATGATGATCATGTCACCCTTACTAAATGAAACTCACCGTTTTGGCTCAGTCCCCCTCACTAGACAGCTCAATCCATCGACCGGCCCAACTAAAGCCGACCTTTTTTCTAGGCCTGCCCATCTACGCTCTCTAGCTCGATCCCAACACCGTTTGGTCTTCTTCTCTTCCTCACCGTTCTTTTCCCTTTTCCTTCTGGCAAACATAGCGGAAAACAAGAGCCTCAATTCCTCAATTTGGTATCTCAGCTTCATATTTCAAGATTCCTTATTGCCATTGTCATTCGCTGTGATGTCGTTCTACTATGTTGGCTCCAATTTTGATGTTTTCTATTGTACTATACCTCACTAGGGTTTTTGGTTCGTCAAGGGTCTTCGTGACGGCAACTATGGCCGCAAATCAACATGCTGCCGGTACCTCTACATGGGGATTACGTGGTCACCAAGTCCATCATTCAAGGAAACAATGTACTTTCTATCCCTGTGTTTTTTCCCATGCCTATTCTTCACCTACGTGGTCAACGTTTGCACACCATATAATGCTTTGATTTTCCAGGGTTGATGCGAGCAATATTCAAGCCGCCAAAGTCTCCTTCCACACAACAAATTGCTGTTGAGCGGGATCGTCTTAGTCAACGTAGTACAACGACTCCTAATAGTTGTTAAATCAAATGCCGTCATGTTTATTGGATGCAAATAATTCCAGTTTTTTTTTAATCCTTGAAATACACTATCTTGAAACACAATTGCGCCATATCGATCGCATGATTGCCTAGGCCAATCGGCACCGACAACGGGTGATTTTGAACACACGTTTGCGACTTATGGTTCAACATGCTAGACATGGTAATCATCGCTATCTTTTAGAGGTGTCAATTTATTTTGCGAGACGTGATATATAATTTTATCTGATTTCATTACCCCTACATATGTGACCTGCGGTAAATAGGGATGGAATGAAATTCAATTGTTTGATGAATTGTGAACTGACTAAAAGCATTGCCAAATTTGATGCCTCATATTATACTTCATGCATCTCACGCTTGCGGACAAAACGAGCACGAGTTATGCGATCAATTTATTTGTGTAAAAGGCGGATGGTTCATGCTGTTCCTAGGAGATTTTCCCGTTTTCATGGTTTGTGGTTTCATATTTCATGTTTTTTCACGGGATAAATCTAACTGTTTATGTGTCAATTATCTTACGTAACTACTTTGATTGTAGGGTATCCTGCTGTTGAAGTTTTCAGTCTCGACCAGCCTTCAAGCATTTGTCAATACTATGCAGCAATTATGTGGCTAGAAGAAAGTACAGCGCCTACTAGGGGTCACGCCAATCCCGTTTTCCCATTATGTTGCAAATCGGGGGAAAGGTTAAATTGCCTCCCAGACGTGATCCGCCTACATTTTGGCATGAATTATTAAACTCGCTGACACCTATGGGCCGTTATTTCCTGGAAGCTATTCGTATATATAATGTTGTATTTTCCTTCATCTCCTTGGGTGGCAAAGTGGATCGTGGGATAAATGATGGACGGGGTGTGTATGTGTATTCTATAAGTGGTCAGCTTACTTCCTGCAGAAGGTGAGGCCCCGAGGTTTGCACAATTGTGTATTCATGAATCAGGCTCTGAACTGCAGAATCGTCTGCAACTATGTCCAAGTGATAATCAATTCAATTCATTGCGGCCGAAGATTGTTGAAGGATTGGAAGAAATGTTTGACAGAAACAATGTTATAGTCCAGACCTTCCGGATGGCAAGGCAAAAGATTCATGAAGGCAATGTTCAAGAAGTGAAGATCAAATTATTTGCGAAGCGTGCACATGATGGGAGAGAATATGATCTGCCAACAGGAAATGACATAGCAGCATTAATTGTTGATGAAACAGGTCAAGATACATTTGAGCCAGATATTATTGTCCAATATAAGAGCTCTCAACTTAAGAGAATTAATTTCCATCATCCATCTTTAATGGCGTTACAATACCCTATTCCATTCCCTTATGGTGAGGATGGATGGCATCCGGATATAAGCTGCAATGATGATCCTGGTGATGATGACAATCCTAAGAATCTTCTGAATGACAACACTTTGTCCCAATGTGATTACTATGCATATCGCATGCAGAGTAGATTTCATGAGTCAAAGTCGCTATTATTAGCTGGAAAATTATTTCATCAGTATGTCAGCAATGCATTGGTGGAAGCAGAACGACTTGAATGGATCCGCAATAACCAGTCTAAGCTTCGTACTCACTACGTTAGTGGTTTGCTCGATGCTTTTCTACGGGGTGACTCTGATTTAGAGATGACTGGGAAGCATGTGATTTTGGCTGCTTCGCATACTGGGAGTCCATGTTATAAGTATGAAAATTTGCAAGATGCTATGGCTATTTGTAGGTGGCTGGGATATCCTGATTTATTCATTACATTCACCTGCAACACAAATTGGCCAGAAATACAATTTATGGTGGATTTGATCAACTCAGATGGTCGAAAAGATGTGAACAGATCTGATATTATTGGCTTGCTAGAATCTTCAAGCTGAAACTGCATCAACTAATGTCTGAGATCAGGGATAAAAATATTTTTGGAGCCACAACTGGGCGTAAGTCATATAGTTTGCTTAACTTTTCAATTTATGTTTATGTTATTTCATTTTATGTTATGTGCGGTAATTGTGTTTCATAGGCATAAAAATTTTCTGTCATTTTCACTTATTGCGAGTAACCAATTCTGTGCACGAGTGGCCTTTACCGCATGGCATCTCTCGTACTACACGTCCCATTTTAATTAAGTTAGCATCCATTCTGTTTTTTTTTTTCACAAGTAATTGCTTTGTTTGTACTCCTCCCATGTGTGTATTAGGTGTGGCAACCAATCAATGTCACTATTTTTTCCTATTCATCAAAGGAATAATTAATATATTGTCATATGGAAGTGTTACTGACACTGAACCTCACATGTTTATGGTTGTCGGTTCCTATTTCCTATGCATGTCATTGCTTCACCCATGGGATTATGTAGAATCCCAAGATTATGTATATTTATTTGACTAATTAGTGGAATTCAAGCTATTTTTATTTCTCCATTTACTGCGTCTTATTAATGGTGAGTGCTTCACTTAAGTACGAGTGAGTTTTCTTGGTTTTTTTCCTATTTGACAAATATTGCCTATCATCATAAATTACTAATTCCATGTTTATGTAATGCACTTAGTGGGTACTTATAGACGTACTCATATATACCTCCAAGTTAGCCACATAACTGGAAGTTTTTAAAATCTCTCAAATTTCCATTGTGTTTTCCTTCAAGCCTGAATAGTTGTTAGGATTGTATGTATAAGTAAGCTGGTTTTTGTTTGTTTGTTTGTTTGCAGATGTTATGCCAATTGAGTTTCAGAAGAGGGGCCTCTCACATGCTCATTTGTTAGTGTTTCTATCTTCTGAATATAAACTAACTGGGCCGAATGACATTGACTCCGTAATATCAGCAGAATTACCAAACCATGACCTTGATCCAGAAGGTTATCACGTTGTAACGTCATTTATGCTGCATGGTCCATGTGGTGTTTTAGGGCGTAATGCTCCTTGCACACAGGGTGGTGTTTGGTACGAACATTTTCCGAAGCAGTTTTGTGAGCAAACAACTATTGATGATAATGGTTTCGCCAAATATCGGCGACGCGATAGTGGGATTTCATTCACAGTCAACTCTGTGCCCTTGGATAATCGTTTCGTGGTTCCGTACAATCGCTATTTGTTGTTGTTCCTGTTTGCCTTCTTCAGCATTAGTGGACTTGATTAAAAATCCAATTGGCCATGGAACTCCATATTGTTGCGTTATCTTAACCTGTTGTTGCATTATCCCAAACTAATCAGAATTTCATCAATGGACGGAATTCCATTGAGTTTGCTTGTCCCTAATTTCAGCATGTTTGGGGTATGCGTTCTATATCCTATAAATTGATCTAGCCATTCCAGAATTTAGATTTCATTATTGCCGTATTAAAAGTTCAGGAGCATACGTTGGCCTAATCTTTGTCTCTGAACAGTGTTTGTCTTTTGTGGTTTTATTTGATTATCAAGTAAATGAATGCATCCTGACTTATCTCTAAGTTGCAAGGGCATAGTTTCTTTAAGTTTAAGTATATGGAAAGAAGGCAATCTGAAAAACCCAGAGTTATTCCATCTGTGTAGCATTATCTTTTGTAGACTAAACTTCTTTCAAGTGGTGTTAGCATATGGAAACTCAGCAACCTGAAAATTGTGGCCATTCTTCTTACTTGATTCCTGGTTTGTTTACAACACTACTAATTTCATTTCATTATTTACCTCTAAGCTGTAAGGGAATAGGTTCATAAAATTGAAGTATTGGAAAGAAGGCAATCTGAACAAACAGAGTTATTCCACCTTTGTAGATTATCTTTTGCTAGACTAAAGTTCTTTCAGGTGGTTTTTGCATGACTTGGTTGTAAACGCGATCTCCCCAACTAGCATCCTTTTGTATTTGTTTAATCTCCTATAGCCACCAACCTTTTCTGACATAAAATAATTTCATATAGAGGCGATGTTGTGAAGGTCGTTGTATGGGGAAGATTAGTTGCTTCAATTCAGAAGATAATTGACGACCTTCAGAACCAACCAATTACGGTGGTCATTACTTCTCTTATTGTTAAAACCTTCAAAGGTACACTTTTCAAAGTTATTACTTGCATTTGAAGATGATTCTGTTAGTCAACAATTACAGATTCTAATGTGTTGAATATGCAGGTGCATTTTCATTCTCATCTTCTGGATCCACAGTATTGTATGCTAACCTTGATATTCCAGAGTTCATGCATTCAAAACCAGGTTTCCACTTCTTCTTAGACTGTGCACCATGCTACAAATACATATATTCTACCAGTTTCCATTGACTTTTTTTTTATTTTAACTTAGGGATGAGCAGCCACATCAGCCTATCTTATTGGAACAAACACCAGCAACACAGATTCCATTTATCTCCCTTGCTGAACTTCTCGACCTACAAGCTGATCCTGACATGGAGGTAATCTGTACCCACTGGAGTAGGTTATAATTAAGGATAGTTTGTTCTTTGTGGAAAAACCACCAATCTATTCACTTTTTTGCTATTTTGTTCATAGGAATTGGTCTTCTCTGTTGAGTGTAAATTTGTCGGCATCAAACCAGGTTGGTGCTACATGGGATATCCCAACTGTGTCTTCAAGCCTATACAATGCCAGGGTCAGTTTTATTGTGTCCGCTACAACAAAACTTCACTGAATAAGGTTGCCAAGTAAGTACAGAATTAATTATTCAAATTACATGAATGTGGGAACTTATCAATATGGAACTACCTACAACTAATCTATTTTACATGCTCCTGTACCTAGATATCGCATTCACATTGAGTTCGAAAGTGATTCTAGACGAGCCACATTCACGATGTTTGAATTTGAAGGCAAGCGCTTTTTTTGGAATGACTCACCGCCTGAGGAGCTGCTTCAGCTGGTGGGGTTGACAAAGAACTTCAACATCAAATTCAAGATCAATTTGTATGGTAATGGGCTAGATGATTTTACCGTGTTGAAGATTAAAGACCCAACACCACATGTTAGTAGATGTATCCATGCAAATACTCTCATTTCCATTAGCATTGATTAAAAATGGAATTATCATTTCCTACTGCATCAGATGCATCTCATGCAGTTTCTGGTCAGTTGATATTTAGTGATAGTAAGAAATTGGCGTTGGGTATATGATGGTATCCAGGTTTAGTGAACCTAAATTAATGGCATTGGGGCACATGTTGATCCTGAGGTTGCATTGTCACTAGCATAGCATGCATGTCCTCCCCTGCCGTTACTTGACTTCTTATTTTTAATCCTTTTACTCTGAAAAGTTCCTTTATTTGAATCAGCTAGTCCCTAAATTATAATGTTTGTTGAAGAAACCATCTCACACCTGTATTATCAATTTGCTTACATTAGCACGCTTTGTTTGCATAATTCACATTTCAGGGAAATGAATCAACTTTACACAAAGATGGATCATCTTCATCCATTACCAGTGGTCTTGAATCAAGCCCCTCTTCACCTCACCATTCAGGCGAGAATGGTAGCAAAGAAGCTGTTGATGGATAAGGAGAAGCTACCCCTCTTCACCTCACCATTCAGGCGAGGAATGGTAGCAAAAAAGTTGTTGATGGACAAGGAGAAGCTACCCCAACTCCAGACAACAAACTCAAGAGAAAATTGTTGTAGATGTAACTTGCTGAAAAATTGGTAGTGCACATTATTTGATGTCTAGCTCTCCCAATGTCTTTCCATCATCATTTCACAATATTTAGACCCTGATATGTTTTTCAAGACTTTCATATGTGTTGCCAGGATTATTGCTTCCTAATGTTATTATGAACTTAGCCATGAGAGCCTGTTTGTTATCGCATTTCAATTCATTAAACCTATTTCCTTTAGAACATGGCATCTTTGTATGCTTGGGTTTTGTTCTGTTAATTTTCAATGATTTAATTTCCCTTCCTTATGATTGTGTATTTTACTTTCCATACAAGTGCAATAACCCATGATTAGTTAGTAACTTTAGTGCCTACTGTGAAATGTTGTTTGTATTCAGCCGACCTAATTCATTAGCCTACCTGTTGTATGGGCTCAAAATCTGATTGGGTTGAATATTCAAAGCCTGCTTCAACTAACTAGGGATGGCAATGGGTCGGGTCGGGGGCGGATAGTGCATATCCGTTACCCTACCCAAATTAGTTCGGGTTTTACCCATACCCATACCCACATAAGAAACGGGTAGAAAATCAAAACCATACTCATACCCGTTCGGGTTTCGGGTATCCACGGTTATCCATGGATAATAGTTTCTCCTTATAACTCCAACCAATATGTTAATATTTACATGTATTCTCGCATTACGTAAGACAAAAATTATGACAAAAATTCACTAGAATGCAGAAAATTCATTAAAACAACACAATTTCATGAAAAAATTATATTTATATGCTAAATATAAAATATGTTAGAGAAAAATGATGATTTTTCTAGAAAAAATGTATATGCATGTGTATATCGGGCGTGTTCGGGTTGGATAGTGAGAAAATCATGCCCACCCATTACCCACAATATTCGGGTTCGGGTTTACCCATACCCGCTAAAAGTCGTTCGAGTTTGGATTTTACCCTACCCAACAAGGTTGGATTCGGGCGGATATCCACGGTTACAGATATTTTTGCCATCCCTACAACTAACTATAACACAGGTTGGCCAGCTAGAGCCCAATGTGATTTATCTAAATGTCGTCTTGTACCCTCCCTATCCATCCCCTCTTTTTTCCTTAATTTTTTTGGGCCTTTCTTTCCTGCTTTTTTGCATGTTACAAGTGTCCTTCCCTCCCTATGTTTCCTCAACAAAAATTCCATTGACATCAGCCACTTAACCTCTCCCGCATCAGTTGGGGGAACTTATCCCACTCTCTCACGTCCAACGGTATAATTATTATAACGTCTTCCCCAAAATGAGTACTCATAATCTGTCTTTCTCATGAGGTTATTCCATTTCATTCCTTCATCTCTCTCAAACCAGCACACAATCAATTTTGCTAAGTTCCGAGGGTTCATTCCAGTTATATCAACATGTCTTTCGATGCTATATCACAACTAATACCAACCCGACAATCAACATTGCTGCTGCGGGTTCGCTTTTTGCTAGTATGGCAGACGCAGAGCATGGCGGGTGATAAAAGTTATTAGCTTAACCTCCTGTTCATTGACCATCAGGTAAGCATGGAAGATGTTTATTTTACCAACATTTTTTCATATTCGGAATCAGAATTATCAAAGTGTTTATTTTTTTAGGGTGCACAGTATCACGGAATGATCGACAATCTTGGTCTTCCCAAGTTTGACTAGAAAATTGAAGAGGGAAAGATATATGCTATTTCCAAATTTGAGGTTAGCGATGCTCAAAAACACGATCGAGTCACCGCTTCGACCAAGTGATATTAAAAAATACAACTTCCAATTTCTGAAACGTACCGACTTTGCAACAGCATTTGCAAACGATCAATATTTATCAGGTTCAATTATTTTATCCCATCATTTCACAATCAATTTTTATGTCATGCCTTTGGTTACACGTTTATTCTCTGACATGTTTTATGCATGCATCAATTCAATGCTCATAATTTTTTTTTGTTTGTTCGGTCATTTATGTTGAGGATACGCATTAAAAAAACGTCCAATTCCTTTGGTGTTTCCAATCTTAATCATGATTGATCATGTCCTGCACTCATACATATTAAAAAAACGCCCAATTCCTTTGATGTTTCAATCTAATCATGATAGGTCATGTCCTGCAGCCATACATATATATCATAAATATATTATTGTTTTCGTATATTTTGTTTCCCGTATACTCCCAACAGTGCATCCCTTTATTTTACCTCATCACGTTCAACTTTTTTGCTCCAATGTTAAACGTATGAGATATGATGCTCATGCCAGATGTAGTTGGTGAAGTTGACCATACGGAACCAACCTACGAATTACATGATCGACCAGCCCGTCAAACCTCAAAAAATGTGTACCTAAAACTGGTAGAGTGAGTCCTCTAACTTTTACTATCATTTGATGCTCACTTTGATGTTCCACATGCTCTAGCAAAATCACTTTACCTCCTCATACCTTTTAGGGGAGCCGTCATCCGAGTGGTACTAAGAGGATCCTTAATTCCTACATTTGAAGCATTCATGCTTTCTCAACAACAAGCAACGGTGGTATGTGTACTTACTTCAGTATATGTGGAGGAAACAAGAGGTATTCTTGCTATACGAGTTCATTTGTTTGATGCACAATTTCATTTATGTTTCTTCCTTAAAAAACACCATGTTTTCTTCACTAAGTTACCTCATCATTGTTAGGCAAGTATTACTTCGCGTCATCCTTAGCATCCAAGCTATTTTTCAACTTGAATCAGCCTTTCTTGCACCCACTGCTCAACCCATGAGTAATTTCACTTAAGAACCAACTGGTGTATAACTCCGCATAGCTATAAAAAAATAACTTCTCCATTTTTAATTTCTTATGTCAGACTAAGAAAAGTCAAATACATCATTAAAGAGGAGTCCTATGAAGTTGCCAAAGAACGTGCAAAAATGCGTTCAATTGCATACCTAAATGTATTACGATTTCATGACCAGTTAATGGTAAGAAGTCTTCCAAAATACATTATTTCATCCATGTCTCATCAATGATGCCTACTAATCAGACATGTTCATTGTTTCAACTTATTTTATTTCAAATCTAACTTTTGTAGGGAAACTACTACATTGTTGTTGGTGATATCCACGACATGAGAGTCATACGTGAATTCAATTGCACACAATACATTGTTCAACTCACTATTAGTGACAATTTTGCATCATGTCCGATATATTTCAAATCACACAAATTCAGATCGATTGCACGTGCTGTGATCAACAAAGATGATGACTACTGGGATAAACGCTATACAGAGCTACTAAACTCTCTCAGAGACCAACCCTATTTATGTATGGTTTCCTTCTTAAAAAAAATTGTATTTCTTTTGATGAAACATATCTCTTATCTTATTATTATATTTTCAGCATGTTATATCTACATATTTTTTATCTAACCTATCCCAGCCAACGGGCCGGGCCCAGTGCTAGTTATATATAAAGGAAATAATGTTGATGATTGTTAAGTACTACATGCTCAAATGAATAGATTTTCGAAATGGTAAGTGCAATGTGGTCAGATTGAAGCCTATCTCTTTACTTAAAAAATATAAAGTCCAAGATAATTTGAAGCCTGTTTTAACAGGAATACATTATATTTTATAGGAAAAATAATGATGCTTGTTAACTCATTACATACTCAAATCAAATAAATTGTAAAATGGTTAAAAGTTTCTCAATTAAATAAATTGTGAAATGTTTAAAAATAAAACAAAAATACTTTATATTTTATAGGAAAAATGATGATGCTTGTTAACTCATTACATACTCAAATCAAATAAATTGTAAAATGGTTAAAAGTTCCTCAATTAAATAAATTTTAAAATATTTAAAAATTCTGGAGATGCAGGGTATCGATCCCCGTACCTCTCGCATGCTAAGCGAGCGCTCTACCATCTGAGCTACATCCCCTTGTTGTGCACTATGTTCAAATTGCATTATATATTGCTTCAGTTAAAAATATGAAATGCAAGTGAATTTGAAGCCTATATTATAGGAGTGCATTATATTTATAGGGAAATTAATGATGATTATTGAGCATTTACATGCTCAAATAAATAAATAACATGAAATTTTAACATAAAAATAGTGGTTATTAAAGAATTTTGAACGTTGCGGGCATAAGTCCTAAACGCGGTTAGACAAAGAAAAGGAAAAAAACAAATTAATGATACGTAATAAACTAATTTATTATGATGAAGACTCATTAGACATTTTTAAATAACTAGATGATATTCATGAAAAAAAAAATAGTTTATAGATAGTGTTTTAGTATATTAACAGTTGTACTAACTAAAAAGCATACTAGAGCTCATAATTGGAACTAGGCCCTTTAGCCCCCTCATTTGTTCTCTAGTTCATTAATTAATTACAAACCATGTCATGTATTTTTTTATTTGACTATTGGAACTAATTTTTATACACTATCTAATCTATTTGAAATTTTACAAACAAAAAATATTATTTGAATTACATAGAACACTTACTATCTAGATTAGTGTCTTTTTGGAGGCTTTGGTATTGTTGGAATTTAAAGGTTGGTTTTTTATTTTCTTTTTGGAAGAGAATTCTCATGCATGCACTTATAGTAGGCAATTTCTATATCATACGGTAAAACTTATAATCCACAATTATTGTCACAGTTTTGGTTGGCCCAGTTCACCATACACAACCATCATTTCAACTTTTATGTGTGACCTTTCCATGAAATGTTAAAAAATATACACCTAAAACTATTGGATTGAGTTATTTGACTATTATTGTCATTTGTAGTCTATTTGCATGTTTTAGATATTCTATCCATCTCACATTATCACCTCATGTATATTAGGGGGCCTTGATCAAAATAGAACCGAAAGACTCGTTGATTTCTAAATTTGAAGTTATAATACTCAATGTCTCAATCAACTGTGGTCTGTGTACTTACTTTAGTACAACATAATCCAACTACTAAGTTGTTTTTATCATTGCTAGGGAAGTATTACTTTGCTGCATCTCCATCATCCAATAGATATTTCAACTTGAATTATTTTTCATTGCACAACATCCTATAGATATTTCAACTTGAATTATCTTCCATTGCACTATTTATTAAACCTGTAAGTAAATGATCTTATGAATACTATAAATATATACATGCTCATTGTTAGAGTTAAATAACCTTGGTATATGTTATTGCTTATGCCAGACTTAGGGGAATGAAAATACTATTAAAGATGACTCCTACAAAGTTGCCAAATAACGTGCCAACATTTGTTCAATTGTAGACATAACTTCATTTTGATTATCTCTTAAACCATGGTAAGTGTTTGCAAATTGTCATTTTCCACATGGACCAATTTAATCTTATATATTCATAAATATTTATTCTTTATTATTTTTATATTTATTTCATCAATAAATACATAATTTTTTGTACAAAAATTACTACATCGCTACTAGTCATATTTGCGACCTGAGAGTCATTTGAGCAATCACCCGTACACAATACATTATTTAACTAACTATTAGTCACAACTTTTGTATCATTTCATATATATTTCGAATCCTGCAACTTCACTTCCAGTTACCCGCACTGTGAGCACCAATGATGCTCTCCACGGGGAAAACACTTCATGGAAAATTTGAATTATATAAGAGACCAGTATTTTCTTTCTTTCTTAAGGTTAATTACGTATGTATTATGAGAAGAACTTCTGATATCCAATTATATCTTCTACTCAAGGATTAAGAGACAAATAGTTATATGTATTTCTAGACATAAAAAAATAGTTATATGTATTTCTTCCCTCATTAAATAATTATAGCAATTTTTATATCTTATTTTTTCACGTTTTATTATATTCTAAGCACAAGATGCATAGCCAAACATTACATGTATTTGCGAACACCTATCCTATTCATATTATATATCATATTCGCGATCTAATCTCTCTCGGCCAAAGGGTCGGGTCCGGTGCTAGTTATATTTTATAGGAAAAAATGATGATTATTGTTAACTCATACTTACTCAAATCAAATAAATTGTGAAATGATAAAAAGTTCTCCAATTAAATAAATTCTATCGTACCAGGTCAGAGATTCTCGGCCACAGCGTCAGTCGGCTCGGCCACAGCGTCAGTAGGCTCAGCCACCTCTTCAGCTCCTCTGTGTTCCTTCTTTACGTGGTGCTCGAGCCTCTCCAAGGTAGTGAGGCGCGCGATGCAGAACTTGCAGGGAAATGGACGGAAATAGGCACAAGCATCGCACTCATTGGGAAGAGAGGCCACACACCATTGGCAGGGGAGATTCTGCTGGTTGTCCGCCATCGTTCTTCAGAGAGGAGAAAATGAGAAGTGGAAGACGACGAACAAGCTCTACTCTCGCTTCTCTCTCTGTCAATGGCGGAAACTCGCGAATTTTGGATTTCTGCTATGTTCTGTTACGGTTTTCTACTTTTCATTTTCTTACCCTCTTTTTTTATTGTTGACAATTACTTTTTTGCCCTTCCGCTTCCGTGCTAAGGAAGTTTCTTTGGTTATTTTTTGCCCCATCCGCTGCGATAAACATTTTTTATTTGTTTGTTTATTTATTTATTCAAATGAGTGAAACTACCCGAAATTGATCATAAGGGCATAGCCTTTTCAAAGAAAGTCACACGCACATTTTTATTTATGAACTATTAGAGTTACGCAAACATTACGCAAACATTTTTATTTATTTAACTCTAATATGACAATATTAGAGTTACGCAAACATGTCAAATACTAAAATGATGATTATTATTGAACTCCAGTCCATAATTCACTAACCTCTAATTTATGCACATAATTCGTCATACCTATCTTCTATCGTACCTTAAGTAAAATCAAAAGTATAGTATACTTGATATTATATATATATATATATATATGGCGAGTTCTACGGTACCCTGGGTGAAATCTGGGGTACCGCATACCTTGATTATGAAAACACTATCTAGACCTTGAATTGAACGATCTTTCGGACATGATACTATACTCTAACCCTTAAAAATCAAAATCTAGGTCTTAATTCTCTAAATCTTATACCCAAAGATCAATTTTATTATAAACAATAATCGACGGTTATGATTCGTCCAAATATAGGCAAAAAAATCAATGCACCATCTTAGGATTTTTAGTTTATGATTTAGATAATTAGGACCTAGTGCTCACTCATTAAGGGTTAGAGTATAATATCATGCTAAAAAATCCTGTTAATTCGAGGTCTAGATAGCGTTTTCATACTCAAGGTATGCGGTAGCCCGGATTTCACCCGGGGTACCATAGAAGGCACCATATATATATATGTAGTAGACTCAAAATTATCCAGATATTTCGTCATATCTATCTTATCTCGCATAATACTCATATTAAGAGTGCTAATTGCCTATCCCCCCACTCCCGTGATAGAGATATCGCTTTTACCCCCATAACGTCAGGCAACCATTAGAGGTTATGTTCTTTTGTGCTATTTTTGGGCTTCTTTCGTTCTTCTTTGGCACCTATGGTTGTTATCAGAGGTATTTAGCCCTCGAAAGGGATTGAGATTTTAGGTCTAATTGACTATCTTACTAAAAATTGCCAGCTTTTATTTGGTAAATGTCTAGGTTAGTAGTTGATGAAACGTGATGTTTATAGTAGATTCTCAACAAAGATTTCTCTAACTTTCACATATGTTATCTTTCAAGGCATCTTGTGTCTCATCCTAGGGTATGAAGTCAAAGTTTGTCAATAATCATATTTAGGTCATTTTGAAAATTTTGATTTATAATCATCGAAGATAACTCCAATATGAAAGAAAAACTTTTAGCATACGACTTAGGAACTCAATAGAGCTTGTTCAATCAACATGATATAGATCAACTATTATTAATTTGAACTTAGGACACATTATAAAATTATTGCACATGTGATTCCTCTTCATTTGAGGAGTTTAAGGTGAACCATAATCTGAATGAATAAGAAGTCCTTTTTATATAAATAAATGTAACTACTTGATCAAGATTATATTCTGACATTTTGCTAAATAATACTTGTTTTATTTTCGAGACATATACTTTACGAATAAGAGTTGTTTCATTGCAACAAAATATAAAGTAATATAGTTTATTTTTCAAAGGTAATTGAATGCCAAATGTTTATTTTCTCTCTTTTCACATATATTTTGTTTAATCGATAAAAATATTATTGTTTATGTGTATGTTTGTTTAATTTTTTCATCAAAATGTAAATCATCTTTCAATTTTGAAAATTTACTTCATAAGGTTTAATCAAATATTTTTATTTAAACAAATGTGATATATGTCACTCTCTATTTTCTTATTTATATTTTGTTTACTTGACAAAAAAAATTATTATTTATGTGTGTTTTGGTTAAGTTTATCAACATGTAACTTATTATTAAAGAAAAAAGAATAAATTGATAAAAAAAGAATAATTGGATAAAAGAATTGAAAATATTAAAGAAGAGAGAGGTAGCTTCATAAATACATTAATAACTAATTTTTTTGTTTGTAAAAAAGTTGTCCTACTTGGCAAATTGTGGATCATCCAAGTGCTTATGTGGCAAGAGATTGATTTTAAATTGTCATAATATATAGTATAGATCGATTGTAAAATAGTTAAAAGTTCCTCAATTAAATAAATTGTAAAATGTTTAAAAATTATGGAGATGCGGGGTATCGATCCCCGTACCTCTCCTCTCGCATGCTAACCGAGCGCTCTACCATCTGAGCTACATCCCCTTGTTGTGCACTATGTTCAAATTGCATTATATATTGCTTCAGTTAAAAATATGAAATGCAAGTGAATTTGAAGCCTATATTATAGGAGTGCATTATATTTATAGGGAAATTAATGATGATTATTGAGCATTTACATGCTCAAATAAATAAATTACATGAAATCTTAACATAAAAATAGTGGTTATTAAAGAATTTGAACGTTGCGGGCATAAGTCCTAAACGCGGTTAGACAAAGAAAAGAAAAAAAACAAATTAATGATACGTAATAAACTAATTTATTATGATGAAGACTCATTAGACATTTTTAAATAACTAGATGATATTCATGAAAAAAAATAGTTTATAGATAGTGTTTTAGTATATTAACAGTTGTACTAAATAAAAAGCATACTAGAGCTCATAATTTGAACTAAGCCCTTTAGCCCCCTCATTTGTTCTCTAGTTCATTAATTAATTACAAACCATGTCATGTGTTTTTTTATTCGACTATTGGAACTAATTTTTATACACTATCTAATCTATTTGAAATTTCACAAACAAAAAAATTTATTTGAATTACATAGAACACTTACTATCTAGATTAGTGTCTTTTGGGAGGCTTTGGTATTGTTGGAATTTAAAGTTTGGTTTTTTATTTTCTTTTTGGAAGAGAATTCTCATGCATGCACTTATAGTAGGCAATTTCTATATCATACGGTAAAACTTATAATCCACAATTATTGTCACAGTTTTGGTTGGCTCAGTTCACCATACACAACCATCATTTCAACTTTTATGTGTGACCTTTCCATGAAATGTTAAAAAATATACACCTAAAACTATTGGATTGAGTTATTTGACTATTATTGTCATTTGTAGTCTATTTGCATGTTTTAGATATTCTATCCATCTCACATTATCACCTCATGTGTATTAGGGGGCCTTGATCAAAATAGAACCAAAAGACTCGTTGATTTCTAAATTTGAAGTTATAATACTCAATGTCTCAATCAACTGTGGTCTGTGTACTTACTTTAGTACAACATAATCCAACTACTAAGTTGATTTTATCATTGCTAGGGAGTATTACTTTGCTGCATCTCCATCATCCAATAGATATTTCAACTTGAATTATTTTTCATTGCACAACATCTTATAGATATTTCAACTTGAATTATCTTCCATTGCACTATTTGTTAAACCTGTAAGTAAATGATCTTATGAATACTATAAATATATACATGCTCATTGTTAGAGTTAAATAACCTTGGTATATGTTATTGCTTATGCCAGACTTAGGGGAATGAAAATACTATTAAAGATGACTCCTACAAAGTTGCCAAATAACGTGCCAACATTTGTTCAATTGTAGACATAACTTCATTTTGATTATCTCTCAAACCATGGTAAGTGTTTGCAAATTGTCATTTTCCACATGGACCAATTTAATCTTATATATTCATAAATATTTATTCTTTATTATTTTTATATTTATTTCATCAATAAATAAATAATTTTTTGTACAAAAATTACTACATCGCTACTAGTCATATTTGCGACCTGAGAGTCATTTGAGCAATCACCCGTACACAATACATTATTTAACTAACTATTAGTCACAACTTTTGTATCATTTCATATATATTTCGAATCCTGCAACTTCACTTCCAGTTACCCGCACTGTGAGCACCAATGATGCTCTCCACGGGGAAAACACTTCATGGAAAATTTGAATTATATAAGAGACCAGTATTTTCTTTCTTTCTTAAGGTTAATTACGTATGTATTATGAGAAGAACTTCTGATATCCAATAATATCTTCTACTCAAGGATTAAGAGACAAATAGTTATATGTATTTCTTCCCTCATTAAATAATTATAGCAATTTTTATATCTTATTTTTTCACGTTTTATTATATTCTAAGCACAAGATGCATAGCCAAACATTACATGTATTTGCGAACACCTATCCTATTCATATTATATATCATATTCCCGATCTAATCTCTCTCGGCCAAAGGGTCGGGTCCGGTGCTAGTTATATTTTATAGGAAAAAATGATGATTATTGTTAACTCATACTTACTCAAATCAAATAAATTGTGAAATGATAAAAAGTTCTCCAATTAAATAAATTCTAAAATGTTTAATAATTCTGGAGATGTGAGATATCAATCCCCTACCTTTCACATGCTAAGTTAGCGCTCTACCATGTAAGCTACATCCTTATTATGCACTATGTTCAAATTGTAGTATATATTGCTTCAGTTAAAAATATGAAATGCAAATGAATTTAAAGCCTATATTATAGGAATGCATTATATTTATAGGGAAATTAATGATGATTATTGAGTTATTACATGCTCAAATTAATAAATTATATTAAATCTTAGGGTGCGCCTACGGTGACATGCATGTCACGGTGACTTGCACTTTTCGGTCGACCTCAGTTAAGATTAGGTCGACCTCATGTAGGATTAGGTCGACCTCATTTAGGATTAGGTTGACCTAATCGGTTGTTTCAGTGTAAAAACAGTTTCATGGTGCCTACTTTAGAGATTCATATCTTACAATTGGCTCGATG